GGTGCTGGGTGCTGGGGGGGGCTCCTTGGTGCCGTCCTGAGTTCTTGGGCCTCTGCTCCTCACACCTTAGGGTCTGGCCATGTATTCCGATGGCAGAGTCCGGGGTGGGGAGGAGGCAGGCTTCTCCAGCGACTCTGCCTCATAGCGGGACAGAGAACCAGCTTCTAGCTCTTCCCAGCCCCACCTTAACTCTCAGGGACGGTGAGAAGTTAAACAACCACCACAATTATAAGAACCCTTTAAAATGGTAACATTCTAGGAATTGCCCTTTATTTTCCTGGCTCATACTAACTTGGTCCTTACTCGCCTTGGCATCCTGAGTGTTTCTGGGCCAGCCCACCATGGTGACGGGCTCAGGCAGAGATCTGCTGGTGGCAGGACCCAGGAGCTGAAGGCAAAGATGCTAATGCCCCTGCTCACCCCCCAGGCCACCAGGGCCATCCACGAACTCCTGCTGGGACCCAGCCGGCACATAGAGGTGCAGTCTTTCTTCTGCCCGCTGTTCATGGCCCTGCTGCTCCAGGTGTCCTGTCTCGTGGGGGAATGGGGAGCTGACATCATCCAGGAGCAGCGGCTCGGGGCCCAGTGGGTGGACCCTGTCAGGTACCTCTGGTCCCTGGGCTGTGGCTGCTAGTGACCGTGCAGCTCCAGGGCCCCTCCGCTGAGCGCCTGGGCCTTGTCATTCCCTGGCCACTCGTGGGCCCTGGTCCCAGCCTGGTGGCTCCTGACACACCCCTCAGCCCTCCCACCAGGCCCCTGAGGGTGTTCCCCACACAGCCTTCCAAAACGTCTCACTGGGCTTTTTAGAAAAGACTCAAATTCTGGCTCACGAGACTGACACAGAGTCTGTACCAAACTGGTCAGTCCAACAGATGAGACAACACGCCCGCGTCCACACCCCCGGCCGCCATGCCCTCCCTGCAGCCAGCTCCCTGCGTCCCCCTGGGAACAGGCACCTCGCCTGCCACACGGCAGCCTGGTCTCAGGGCTACTGCGTCCCCTGCAGTCCATGGCCCCCAGGGAGTCTGGGAGGCGTGCCAGGGCCGAGGAGCATGGACGCAGGAGGACTCCTGGCTGCCCTTGGCCTCTCCCCAGCTCCGCCGTGGAGGCCCTGAAGGCCCTGATGTACAGCGCCGGCTACGGGGACCATGCGTCTTATGCCCAGCAACTGGGGGGCTGGGAGCTGCTCACCAGCCCTGAAAGACACTCTGAGGGAGTCACTCTGCTGGCCAGGTATACGCATGTCCCTGCCCCTGGCCAGAGGCCCTCCAGTCCTGCCAGCGGCCCCTGGGCCCAGGCCTGATCCTGAGGGCCAGGCTCTCGTCAGCAGGGCCATGGTCTCCAAGAACTGTTGGCATAACCGCCCCCTCTTCAGCGTCGCTGTCAGGTTTCTCCAAGAGCTGGACCACGCAAACCACGGGACGACCCTTATGTTCATGACTGAGGTGAGCTGGTCCTGGCAGGACCCCCTGGAGGGCAGGTACCCAAGGGGCGCCTCAGGGAAGGTTGGGTTCCCCTCAGCTGGTTTCCCCACAGAAGGACTGGGGGACGTTGTCAATGACACTTTCAAGGTTACCTTGAGTCGCGGGCTTTGAATGCACCTGGTCTGGTTCCTCCTTGAGGGCAGCACGACTCTGCCCTGACTTGATGGAACACCACCACCTGTTCCTCCAAGGTCTGCATGCAGAGGCTGCAGCTGTCCCGCATCTCGCAGCCCTTCCAGGCCCTGGGCTGTTGCTTGGCTCCGCTTGTCCGTTTCCCTGTGAGGGCCGCAAGTGGAAATGTTTAAAACAGGCGGGCTGCGTGCTTTCTGCAGGCTGCTCAGGAGCCAGGGGAGCGCCGTTGCTTTGATTTTCACTGTAACTCTGTGAAAATGTATTATTACCTCCGTTTTGTGGAGGATAAAACTGAGGCCCAGGGAACTTAAGGGTGCTTGCTCGGCTTGGAAGTGAATCAGGTGGGTCTGCCCGGCCGCTGCTCAAAGGCAGGCAAAAACTGCCGGGCTGTCCACGAAAACGCCTTTGCTGTTAGGGCCACACATGGAAACAAAGGTATGCACACAAAAGCACGGGCATCTAGTTTAAACGTTTCTGAATCAGCATTTGTCTAATTTAAAGTTTTATTTCGAAAAACATAGATATACCTATTATTTTACATAAATACACAAATGAAATCATGAATGCCATTTTTTTTATTGCAGCCTTTTTGTTCCTTCCCATTTCTGCCTTCTCTTCCCTACCGCCTCTGTCCTTCGCGCGCCTCTTTATCTCCCAGGCATCTCCTACGCAAACAGCCAGATATGGAGCCTTCTGTAGTTTTCTCCATGCTTAAACAGTCACACACAAACATGCATATTTCTTTTTACTTTGCATTTCTTATTTTCATCCCCTACAGCTCCCTTATCAAATACGCCTAAGGAAAACTTGCAGAATGAACGTGTGACTTCTGGAATGGTGGAGTGTGATGTCACCAACTGAGCTTTGGCCTCTTCACCAGTTCCTCCACACCCTTTTGGACATTTTGCTAATAAGTGGGAACCTTGGCTCAAAGTCGCTGAGGGTTCTTCCTCCTTCCCCATTGTTTCAGCCCCTCTCGGTCTCCTTTCGCCAGCTGCTCAGGAGCCCAGAGGTGGCGGTCACTGTGGATGAAGTTGCTGTCCGCGTTCTGGCCCACCGGTTCCAGTGTGAGGAGCCGGCCACCGTGAAGCTGTTGCTGCGGCTGGTGGAGGTCTTCGCAAAGCACAGAGACATGGTGAAATGGGACGGGGGCCAAGAGATGTCATTTGGGGAAGGAACAGAGAGATCTGGAGTTCCCGTGCATCCGGCTGTAGCCGGGCTGGACCATACGCTCAGGGTCAGACAGGAAGTCCTCATGAAGCTGGCCCACTGAGGACAGGGGTCAGGCACTTGAGCCGTGAATGCGTTCTCCCTCCCTGGAAAGGACAGAGGTGGTTTCTCCGTGGGTCATTTCAGGGTATAGACCAAGCCAGTTCCAGGATCCCTGACCCTCCAGGCCTCCCAGACTGACATCAACCCTGGGGCGATAAAGGCCCAGAGAGGGGGATGCGTGCAGGTGGAGGGAGGCGGCGGCCTCCTCTGTCTCCTCCCCTTTCCTCATGAGGCCAGGAGGTCCCTGCCTGAGGGGCCTCCTGGGCAGCATCCTCTGCCTGCCACCCAGTTACCGGACCAGTTCCCTTCCAGGGTAAACAGGAGGTAGTGGGTGTGACCGCGGCCCAGGCCGGGGGTCGTACTGAGCTGGAGTGAGTGTCGCCGACTGGGCCAGAGCTTCTCCGCCTGCACCTCCTTCCTGAGCAGCTGTCCTCCCCGCAGGCGAGGCGGCTGCACCCCCTGCAGCACCACGTGCTCAGCTGCTGCTCGTCCTCGGACAGGAACACTGCACTGGAGGCCTTCCGAGTGCTCAGGGGTCTCGCCGAGACCCTCACCTGGCAGCACAACTCCTCGTTCCTCATTCAGCTCACCTTCATGCTGGGGCCCTTCTTGGAGGAGGTGACATCCTCTGGGGGGTCATCTCCTGTCTCTGAGCATCTGCGGACGGAGGGAGAGGGGTGGCACTGCGTCTGTGACGCGGTTCTGTAGGGCCGGGGGCTGATGTCTTCCTGCATTACGGCTGTAGAGGGTGAGAATGGAGGGAGAGCGGACAAGAGCAGCGCGGGAGAACTGTGCTGACACGGCCTCAGAGCAGATCACCTGCAGGAGGGCGGGTGCATGGGGAGCCTGCGGTTGGCGGGGTGGAGCTTGCGGGCCACGGGGCCTGGGGACTGGGCGGAGGCAGAGGTCCATTCCCCGGGTGTGTCTTCTCACCCAGGAGTCAGAGCAGCTGCGCTTGACAGCCTTTGAGGTCTGTGCGAGCCTCTTGGCCAGGGTCAAGAGGAGAAACCTTGTCTTCCCGCTGAGGCACCAGCTCCTCAACCTGACGGTCCCCCTTGTGCTCCACCTGGGGGACGTGAGTGTCAGCGTGGCTCAGGTAAGAGGCCAGCCTTGGCCTGCGTTTGCATGGGAGGAAAATGCAAAGAGGTTGGCAAGCCCTTGGGAAGTGGCCGGGGCAGGCCTGGAAGGTGCTGGAGAGTCGCCCCATCTCTGACCTCGGGGAGTCGCGTGAGAGGCTGGAGATGGCCAGACGCGCACAGCCGGGTTCTCTGCAGCCCCTGGCGCTCCCCAGCTGGTGCCAGTGCACAGAGGACCCTCCGGGGCAGCCGCCTTCTGGCCCCCATTCCTCCGTGGCTTCCAGGCCCTTGACACAGTGGCTTCCCTCCAAGCTGCTGCCTGCGTGCTCCTTTGGCTTTGAATGGAGACGCGGCTACCAGGCCAGGGGGTTCCCACCGGAGGCAGCGTGTGGGCAGAACAGAGCGGGCCCAGCCCATGGTCTGGAATGGGTGGGCCCAGCTCTGAGCCCCAGAGGCCAGGGACATGAACGGCACCTGAGAAAAGTTGCACCTGAGAAGAGGCTGATCTGTTTGTAGCGGGACACTGGGTGTCCACTATCAGGCCGTCCACCCTGTGAGGCCTCGGACAGGCCTGTGAGGTGCTGCCAGCCCAGAGGCTGAACCGGGGTCTTGTCTTCGCGGGGTGGGGTCCCTTCCGGGGGCCTCAGCAGTGACATTCCCGACAGAACCACCCTGACTTAGAGGAGTGGCCGCTTCCGTTGGGAAGCCAGCCCTTCGGGGAGATCGGTTCCACGGGGCCCGTACCGGGTGGTGGGAGATGTCGGACAGGCAGCTTCTTAGCTCTGGGACTCAGCTCAGTGCCATGGCAACTAGGAAAGTCATTATATCCGTAGGTTTTAAGCATCTCATCAGTGGGCAAAGGGGTGTAGCTATAGCCAAGATGCCTAGAAGACCCTGCCTTTCTCCTAACTCCAGGGTCCCTCTGGGTCCCCTGAGTCCTCCACCCTGCCGGCCGGCACTGGCCTCCCTGCTGTCTCTCCCCCAATTTGGGCCCCTCCATGTCCCTTCCAAGCCCTGCTGCCCCAGCTCCCCACCTGAGCCCCCCTGTCTCCCCAGATCTGTCGGCCTGCCCTCTGCCACGTGGCCACTATACTGGGCTGGTCAAAGCTCAAAGCAGTATTTGCTGAGAAAGACGTGTGGACTATCCTCGGAGCCCTGGTAAGCCTGCAGCGTCCTGCCGATCTGCTCCTGGGCCGGGAGGGTGGCTTCCCACCGTCCTGCGGCTCCCAGCTCTGCACCGGCAGCTCAGCGACGAGATGCTCAGGGAGGGACACCCAGACGTGGTCCCTGCCCTCCACTGCTTCCTGTCTAAGCTGGGGAGCTGGACGCACAAATAGATAATTTCAGGAAACTCTGGTAAGGGCTGAAGGAGAGGAATGCACTTCATAGTTGAAAGGAAGGAGGGCACGCAGCCTTCTCTTGGGAGTTGAAGGAAGGCTTCCTGGAAGAGGTGTCGTCTGGGTGGAGGGGGAAATGGAAGGCACGGTAGCACTCAGGCAAAGGGAAGGGATCAGGAGTTGCCCCCAAGGTGCCGCCTCACTCGGGCGTGGAGCAGAGCTCTCACTGTTCTGGGGCTCTGCACACCTCATCTTACATAGTTTGATCCTGAGAAATAAGGGTACCAGAGCCTGGTGTGGGCAACTAAAAGCGGCTTGGAATCGTTCGAGCAGGGGCAGAAAACTCAAATGCTTACAAGGCCACGTGGGAAATGTTAACCAGAGATGCAGACGGGGTGGGCCTGGAGGAGAAGCAAAGGTCCTGGGGTCCAGCCAAGGTCGCACTTGGCGTGGTGAGGCACAGCACAGCCTTTCATAGCACATCCCAGCCCTCTGCTGTCCTAAAGTGAAGTCAGGTGGCAGTAGGATTTCACTGTACAGTTTTCCAAAATAAATAAATATGATGCCCTAACTCCAACCAGACCTAAAAGCAATTTTTAATAAAATAGTATGTATAAATACACATATAGCACCATATAACATGCCGTAGCATGTTGTTACATAATGATATGAATCATATATGGAAGTTCTGGGCCCAGTCCCCTGAGAAGACGTAGAGTCCTTCTCTGTGGAATCCCTGCAGATGCCCAGGTGCCTAAGTAGGGGGGTACAGGCTGTGTGCGGGGACCCAAACCGCAACAGGTGTTCCTCTTGGTGACATGAATTCTGAAGTGACAGGACAGTTTTCAGTGAAGTTCTAAACAAAATGAAGTACAGCGTGTCTTCGGTTTGCATCGTAGATGCATCTCTGGAAAATCCAGAGCGCACGTGAGCTGTGAAAAAATCCTCTGCGTTTTTATAAAGGACACAGGCAGGCTCGGGGCCGGCCCTCCCGCAGCCCACGAGGTGATGGGGAGATCGAGGGCTTGAAGCTGAGATGGACATGAACAGTACTGAAAGAATGGGGCTCCCTCCTCTCCTGTTGGGAGTAGGACGGAAAACACTGTTAGTCAAATATTGGGGTGAACCTCAGTTTCATGCCTCCCACAGGGAAAGCGATCCCCGTGGCTCTGTCAGTCTGGGAAGGGTCTCTAGAGAAGACAGGAGCTGGGTGGCAGGGGACGGGTGGAGATGGAGACCGTTTTGATAGCTTCTTCCCCGAGGAATGACTCTGGTTCAGTCTGCAGGACAGGCAGGAGAGCTGGCAGTGAGCCCCTCCCCTAACCCAGCACCGCTCTTGCAGCTGAAGCAGGAAGCCAACAAAGGCCCCCAGTTCCTGAAGCAGTGTGTGGCCCTCTTCAAGAGCCCGCAGGCCCCCATCCGCCAGCAGGCAGTGTGGTTTGCAGGTGCGCTTTCTCCCCGGAGCCTGTGTCCCTGTCCTGGGGTCCTTCAGACAGCCCGAGTCCCAGGACCACGCAGGGGCCCCACGGTGCTGTGCTGGGTGGCGGCCCTGTAGGAGCTCCTGGGGGGTTCGGGCCCCCTTCCCACAGCAGGGCGGGTGGTATCCGGGGCCAGCAGTGCCCCCCAGGGTGGGCCATAGTGTGTGGGTGCTGCTCTGTGGGGAAGCTCAGGGACTCGGGGGTCCCAAGGATGAGCATCTTTAGAGCAGAGGGGTCCCCTCCCCCTCACACAGCCCAGGTTGCTCTGACCCTTCAGAGAAGCAGGGGAAGTGACTCTAACATCCTGGGGAAACCTGGGCCTGTGGCTGCTGACCAAGGCCAGACGTGGGGAGGGAAAGACAGAACAGCGGGGGTGGGGGTGCTTTGGGAAGAGGCGCAGGACAGGAGCAGCTGGGAACATGGTCCTTCGTGGGGCCTCTGTGGAGCTCTGTGTACCCTGTAGGCCAGATCCTCCAGACCCTGAACATGAAGGAAGCCAAGGAAACGGAAGAGGCGCTTGCAGGTGGGAGGCACCCGGCCACCCGCCTCGCGTTGTCTGCACTGGTGTTGGCGGGGAGGCTCGGAGTGAGGGGAGACGGGCGGCTGGGCCCCCAAACCCCACTGAAGAAGCAAAGAGGTCGCTCGTGTCCAGGCACTGGTCACCCCTCGGCCACCCCAGTTCACTGACCCTCACTCCCACTGAGTTCCAGACCAGCCAGCCAGGGCAGCTCCTTGACCTCCAAACAGGCGCGCCCTCCAAGGGACAGGGTTCCAGCCCCTCTGTCCAGAGCCCCCAGAACTGCCCAGTGGCCATCAGGCCACAGGCCCTTGGCCCAGCCCTCTGAGACACAGCATCCCCCGCTCCCCTCTTCCTGTCTTGCCTGGCTCCAGCACCACATCTCACCCCTGCTGGGGTCCCAAGTGCTGGCCGAGTCCCTGCAGGGGACTTGGCTCTCAGACATTCCCTGGGCCGGGGGCGGGCAGAGCCACGGAGGTGGAGAGGCCCACGGGGCGGGCTGGGCAGCCGGCTGCGCCTCCCTGAGCCTGTGGCGGTTATATCACCTTCTTCTCACTGCACAGTATGGGCCCCCAGAAGGAATTCTTGCACATATTTTAGAAGCTGCCAGTCCCATCCCGTTGCTTTACCGCTTTCTGCACAGCCACCTGATGGGCCTCCCAGCAGACCCAGGCCTCCTGCCCGGCCCAGTGGCGTGACTCTGTTCTGTGTTACAGCCCTGCGGGGCATGCGGGAAGACCCCGACCCCATGACCAGCTGCCTCGCCACACAGACCTTCTACATCCTGGACGCTAAGGAGAAGGTGCTGCTCGACACCCCGACCTCTTGCCTCTGCAGTAGGAGACCTCGAAGGGGCTGCTTCTGAGTCTGCATTCTGGGGTCCCAGCCAGGCAAACAAGACCATGACAGTGGGGCCAGAGTCCTGAGCCCTGCCCTAGAAATGGAGGGGTGCCCCTGCAAAGCTTCATAGTAAAAGGAGACAGCACGCACAAACGTGGTGCAGGCGTTTTCTTCTCTTCCCACTCAGTTCTCGGCCATGTGGGGTAAAGCCATCTGTGGTGAGCTGCCGTCTCTGCTGCCAACATCCGGGTGCAGGCTCGCCTCCCCCAGCTCTGCCCCTGTGCCCTTCTCCCACTCAGCCTAGTGATCTGAGGCCAGATCATGCAGAATCTTTTGAACAACCACCTGAACCATGAACTGGGAAGAATGGCACTGGGACAGAGGAGGTGTTCTGAAGTCCATGCACAGGGCCGGGCTCCCTGCGGCCAGCAACAGAGTCCAGTCTGGCTAGTTTAAGCCTGAAGGTAGGTTATTAAAGGGCCTTCCTCAGTCAGCTCATAAGATACCCAGAGAGATCAGAGCGTGCTGCCCAGCAAGAACAGGGCTGCCCTGTAAAAACCACTGTGGCTGCCCCTCGGTGCAGCCCAGTGACCACCCTTCGGCCTGGAAACCAGAAGCTTGGCCACTGTTGCCGTGCAGACCCACACCTTTCCTCCTCCCATGCCAAGAGGTGAGCTGGGTCAACACCTCCTGTCCCCCAGGCTCCTGTTGGAATCAGTCTCCCCCAGGCCCTGTGACAGTCCCTGGAGTCTCAGGGTCTGTGCAGGCTCATCTGCTGCTCGCAGTGCCATCCACCCACCCCTGCCTCCAAACCAGGGAGCCACACCTGACCTTCAGTTACCTGAGCCCTAGGCAAAGCTCTGGTGCAGGAGCAATGACCCAGTGCCCTGAAAGGCAGGCTCCCCCATGGCCAGCCCGGCTCTGACTGGATGGACCTCTGGCTCTCGTGCCTCAGTGCCTGGCCTCTGTCACCTGCACCCAGGACCTGGGAGCACGTGAGCTCCCTCTTGCTCGCCACCTCCACCCCTGCCTCTTGGGGGTGGCCACGCTCCTCACCTGGGCACGGCAGCTGGAGCTGCTTGGTCACGCTTGCTGACAAACCCCAGGGGCGGCACTAACCTCCGCGCTAATTCTGGGCTGGCCAGGGGCTCATCTCGCCTGCTCCCCGAGGCCGGGTCCCTGGGTTCTCGGCCAGCGGCCCCCAGCTGTCTCCAGGGCCAGGCTGCCACCCAGCCCTGACAGCGATGGGCTCCCATCAGAATCTGAGAAGCGCCGTTCCCTTGAATCTGGGAAAGCTGCCTCGTCAACATATTCTGAACAGGATTTCTCTTCTTCACACTTCTGTTCTCCACATTTTCTATAATAAGCAGACATTACTCTTGTAATTTGGAAAAAAAAAAACAACCCTGTAACATCCCATGTTAAAGGAGTAAAAAATAATATCCCTTCACCGGGTGTTCCCGCCTCCCTACCCCACGTGGCACAGCATCTTCAGGACCGGGGCCACCTGAGTTTGGGGAAACCTCTGTTCATGACAAACCCTCTGGGGGCCGGGGGGGGCACAGTGGCAGGAAGAACCTGTTGGCTGGAGCGCCCCGATTGGCAGCTGCCCCGCCCGTGTCCTTGGGCTTACTCCCCCTCAACGGGCCTGCAGCTGGCCACGCCCCGTTGCCACCCCCCACGGTCAGCAGTGGGCTCTGTTCCACAGGGCGAGTGAGGGCCGGCCAGGGGTGAGGCTCATCAGCCAACTGGAAACTATGTGCCACCTCCCAGATCCGGGTGGGGTGGTGGGGATAAGGGTTAGGGAGGTTCCCGCGCTGCCAGAGGGCTTCCGGGAGGCGTGGCAGCTCTGCCCCTCACATCTCCCCCAGTGGCTCAGGGTCCCGGTCACTTGCCAGGGCCCTTCCATTGGAGGGGCAGCAGCCTCCCGCTCCGACCCACTCTGCCTCCTACAGACGCTCCGATCTCACTGGCTGACCTGTCGAAGCTGCAGGTCAATGGGGGCAGCAGGGACTGTGCGCTGACAAAGCACCTAGTTTTCTATTTGGAAAACAAAGCAGAGGCCCTATTGACTTCACAATACAAAACCCAGAAAGTCAAGCTTTCAATGGTCTTGGCTGGTGATAAAGATGCGGGTTGTTCCCCAGAGGCCTCTAAGCCTGGGAGGTGGGCCAGAATCCCCAGGGCCCGGCCATTTGCGGCCGCCCAAAGGGGAACAGGTGCAGGTACGTGATGACATTTCATCACTCGATCCTCCGAAATCACCTATTCCTTCTTTACATCAGTTTCTTTCGCTTATTAAATACTTGCTCGGCATCAGGGGCCACAAGGCGCTGAGAGGGAGTAGAGGGATAGACAAACCCATTACCAAAAAAGGGGTGAATTTATGGTATGTGTGGAATTTATGGTAAAAGTGTTACAAAGAATGCTTTTTTAAAGAGCGAAACCTGACAAAGCTAATGGAGGGCCAGTGCGCCATGCGGCTTCAGAAACTGAATTCTGAGGCACAATCTAAAATTACGTGCGTCCTTGATTCCTGAAAACCAGGGTCAACAGACAAAATATACCAAGTTACAAGCAGGAGAGCAGCTCAATTTTAGAGAAACAACACTGTGTCTTCCAGGGCAGAGAACACGTTAGGGGCTTGTTTGCTGCCTCAGACTTAAGATGTTTTCACGTTAAGGATAACAGGACACACAGGCAGAACACAGAGCATTTCTAAGGCAGTGGCAAAAAGGGAATATGGGTTTTTAAAAACTGAAAAGAACTGATCTTGGCCCACAAATCAAGCCCACCGTGGAGCTGTTTTCTTATGTGAACCCTTCATATTCCACCTTTGTAAATGGCAAGGGGAGGACATGTCGGCACACACCTGTCCGCAGGCCCTGGGGAGGCACTGGATGCTGCGGCGGGCGGGCCTTACCGGCCTGATCCTGGACAGGTCACTTCCTCTCAGAGATTTTCCTCATTTCAGAACAAATGAGAACACTAGCCTGTCACACGGAGTCGTGCGGAGCCGGTGAAACATGCCTGGAACTGCCTGGGATGTGGTAGGTGCCCGCTAAGGCCAGTGCCCTCTCTTCGCCTATTACACCTGTCCCAGGGGGCAGCATATGGCGTCGGGAGGCGCCCTTAAATGCAGAGAGCCCCAAGCTCACAGCTTGGGAGATGCCCGTGAGCCTGGGCCCTGCCACAGGCCTCCCACCCCAGAGAAGAGAAACCAGCCAGATGCCGACAGCCCCCAGGGGCCCTCCCACCACACAACGATAGTCATTCAGGTTTTATTTATGACAACTTCTTAGAACACACACAGTCTAGGAACAGAAATGTACAACATGAGGCTTAAATAACTTTCAAACACTATGTACAGTCATCGGCAGAGGTACAAAAGATATGTACACCTTGAGTGAGCCCCAAAGCGAGGAGGGCTTGAGCCAAAGGGGCCCTGCAGCCTGGGCTGGCGGCGGGCAGGGCAGGGCCCCAGTTCAGGGCAAGGGTCTCCTCTGGCCCTCGGCTCTTCAGGGAGCCATTCTCACTTCCCTGCAAGGCCCTTCGGACATGGGTTCAGTGGACGGGACCGGGAGCGGGGGTCTGGGGGTCCTCTGAGGTGGGCAGTGGGTGGGGGTAGAACAAGATGTCATAGAAGCAGAACTTTCCCTGTACATTCTGCCCTCGCACACAGAGGGCAGTGAGGGGTCCGGGGTCAGAAGAGGAGGGCCAGGCCCAGGATGGCCTGTGGGGTCACTGGCAAGCACCGGCTCCTGAGACCAGACCAGGAGGCCGAGAGAGCAGCCAGCAGCTTCCCGTTTGGGAGGGCAAAGGACGCACGCCACAGGCGTGGGCCAGGGACAGGGAAGGAGCTCACTGGTCTCACAGCACAGCCAGCACAGGGCACGGGCAGGGGCCGACCGAGCGCGCAGTACCGGCCCAGCCAGGCCGCGCCAGGAAGCCCCCAGGAGTCGGCACAGTGTGCGGTGGAAGGGAGCAGGCCACCTCTGACTCAGCAGCCGCCCGTCTGCGTCTGCCCCACACCGGGCAGCCTGAGGAAGGCCCGGACGGCAGCCTCCTGAGGGCACTTCTGTGCTTTGAGCTGCCCGCTGGCCATTCCAGGGGGAGGTTCTCTAGTTTAAAGCTGCGGTGAGGGCTGGTGGGCAGGGAGCCCACTCCCGGATCCACAGATGTCCCTTTCCAAGGGGTAGATGGTGGTACGCTGACCCCTTCAAATGCTGGGGTGTGCCATCTTCTGCCTCTTAGCCATTCCTCCTTCCTTGGCAGTTTCCAAAGGCATCTCCAGATGCCGCCTTGGACGAGTCAGTCGCTCAAATGAAAGCAAATACTGGCCTGGGGATGCCAACAACCGGGCTTCTGCACAGGACTGCTAGAGCCACGCAGGTGGCGTGGTGGAAAACCCCTTCCAGCCAGGGAGCTCCCCGATCGGCTTCAGAAGCGCTTGTGGGGCTCAGCCCAGAGTACAGGGATTGTGGGTTCAGGATCTTTAGGCTCAAGAAGACTGGGACTGAGGCTGGGCTCAGGCATTCGGAGATTTAGGGCATGGGGTGGAGAGAGGGCATGACTCCTGGCCCACGGCACTCTGATGTGGCCTGGCCTGCAGCGGCACAGACTCAAGTCTTCAGACGGGCAAAGATTAAGAAGTAATAGGCACATCCCAGAATTAGGACCTGGGCGGCGCCCTGGTCTGAGCGAGGGCAGGCCCCCCGGACTTGGGCATCCTCACCCTAACTTTGGACAGAGCCAAGCTGGAAGAGCCTTCTGGGCCCGGGCTTGCCTGGCTGCCCACCACGAGCCCTGCAATTGTGCTCAATCACAACCATTTTGTGCTTCCAACATTTAAGATCCTGGGGGCCTGCCCCCTAACCGTGTACCTGCAGCATCACTGAAGGAGCTCCAGAGACCCTGGCCCTCCTGGAGCACAGCTCTTGGGCGGCTCAGGGCTGCTGAGGGACTTCAAGTTCAGAGTCAGTGCGCTCACCAGGGCAGCAGAGCCGGCCTGCCCCGAGGTAGCTGGCCCGCCAGACACAGCAGGAAATGGGCACTGATGCCGAGCACCTCTTGCATGCAGGCCGCCAGGTCATGTCTCGTGCAAAAGCAGGCCTCCCGGCTACAGGGCGGCTGTCCCGGGCTGGAGACCCCGGGCCCACAGCGGGAGTGCAGTCTTCTGTTTCTACAGTTCATAAACAGTCATGCAAGATTCTTTCTTATGAAGTTGCAGGGTTGAGGCTGTCTGTCCAGGCAGGGAGAGAGACGGGGAGGGCCAGAGACTTGTACTTGCTTTGGAGGGGTTGAGGGGCTTGCCCAGCACCCAGGAATGGCCAGAGGAGGGGGGCTTCCCCTGGGGTCCCTCCTGTGCATAATCCCGTGGGCGGTGACCTCACTGCAGAGTCCACAGCGGCCAAGCACAGCAGGGCGGCCTTCCAAGCCTGGGGGACAGCTCTGGGCAGGGCGGGGTGGGTGGTGGTGGCCACACCTGGGTCTCAGCAGGTGTTTTCCCTCTCACAGCCGAGCCGCCCCCCCTGCCCTGGGTGCTGGCACACTCCACAGGGGCCCGCACAGCCCTGGCCACATGGGGAAAGGACAGCAATGCCAAGACACCTCCAGAAGGTCCAGAAGTCACTGTCCTTTGAACAGAGTCGGGGCTCCAGGCCCCCAGACTGAGGCTAAAAAGCACAGGGCCAGTTAAGCATCAGAAAAACTGTGTGGACAGGTTGGGGGTGGGGGATGGGGCAGGACCCTTTCCCAGGGCCCAGTCCTGTAACTTCAGAGGTGCCCCAACAGGGGACCCCGGAATGTGGATTTAACCACATCTGGAGCTGGGAGGCCACAGCCCCAAGGAGAAGAGAAGTTCCACCTTCACTGCTAGTCACCTAAAAGGTAGGGCTCCTTGCCGCATGCCGGTTTTAAGGCTTGAAGTGTGTCTCCTGAATAACTAGGGAGCAAGAAGCTGGAGGGGCTCCTGCCCGGTCGGGGGGAGATGCGCATGGACTGGGGAGGGCCAGGCAGCCTCACCGTCCAAGTCCTCTGGGCCACTTCCTCCATGGCCCGCTCAGGACTCTGGGCATGGAGGGGTGGGGGGGTGCTCCCCCACCCTCCGGGGACAGCCTCAGGTGGCTGGAGGTCAGGGGTGTGCTTGCACGGCCAGGGGCAGTGTGGGGGGCAGGCCGCGCTGAGCTGCAGTCACGGGGGGCGCTTCCCTCTTCTGTAAAGCAAACAGGGGAGGTTCCCTTTGGGATTCCTGGCCCCCAGGAGCTGAGGGTAAGAACGTGTGGGAAGAAACTTCAAGTCAGTTTCCAGGAGGCGATAGCAAAAAATAAAAATAAAACAATAAATTAAATAGCTGACGTATTTCTGAATCTTCCTAGCAGCTCCACCCTGGCCCCATCAGAAAGGGACCCTAAGGAATTACTGGGGTCACCGAGGAATAGCCATTGGTGGCCAAGGGCTAAGGGTCAGCTGCAGGGTCCGGCTGCCTACACCTGGTTTCCATGATTACCTGAGGACTAGCTTTTTGGGCTCAGAGGCAGGTGCAGTGGCTCCAGAGGCTGGGCTGGGGCTACCTGGGGAGGCCCCCTCACAGTACAGGGGGGCGGCGCATGGCAGGGCTGTCCCCCCTACAGGGCCCCACCGCAGGCCCGAGGCAGTGTGGCCAGTGGGGGAGGGAGGCCAAGGGGCTGCAGGGGGAGAAGTGAGGGGGGAAAATGCCCTTTGGCTTCACAGCTTGTTTCCCTCCCCACCTGTCTCCCCTGGAGGCAGGGAGGGACAGGGAACAGCGTCCATCAGGTCAAGGGGGAGGAGGGGCCCCGCCCACTGCCCACACCCTCTGTCCCCAGGGCGGTGGGCCCAGGGCCGTGTCTCTGCTGTCCTCTGCCGCATGCTCCTACAGGGGGCTGCCAGCTACCCGCCGTGCACTCCAGAGCTTCACTGTCAGGTCACTGGGGAGGTGGACAGAAGGGATGGTCGGCTCAGGAATGGGCCCAGCTGGCTACCCCCAAAAGCAAAGGATGGCCAGGCTCCCCAAGCTCCCCAAATGTGGCCGGGCCAAGGGGCAAGCACCGCTCAGGCTGAGGGTAGACTGCAGGGTGGGCGAGGGGTGCTGGGCTGAGGGAGAGGGTCTGTGGTTGCAAAGGATTCTTATCCCGGGCTCCCTTCGGTGTTGTCTAGGCTTGGACGCTCCTGTCTCACTCTCTGCTACCTGGCCCTGGTCTCCTGGGCGTCTGCCCACTGTTCGTGCTCGGAGGGAGGGTGGGAGCAGAGGGGCAGGCGGGGGCGAGCCCTGGCTGGGCACGTCTGAGGGCAGAGGAGGTGGAGGAGTAAAACAAGCTCATACCGTGACGAAGCCGCTCAGACCGAAGTGGAGAAAGAGAAGGAAGAGGAAAGAGGTGGGGGGTGAGAGGGGCTGGGCGGGGAGTCAGGGCAGGGTGGTGGCCCGGCCCTTTATGGCCAGGACTCGTCGAGGAAGGCAGGGGGTGAGTCCAGGGATGTAATTCCACAACTTTACCCGGCAGTCACTGTGTGGGGAGAGAGGCGGGGAGGCGGAGGGACAGCAGGAGAGGAAGGGGGGGGAAGAAGAGAAGGGACATGGTCGGAACAGGGGGGAGAGGCCCCTCTGTGTGGCTCCCCGTGGGCCAGAGGGCCTGGCACCCCCCGGACGGGGGCCAGAGCTGGGCTGAGACACCTGCACAGGGTGATGACAGCTGTGCTGGGGACTGCTGGGAGGGGAAGGAGAGGCCTGCAGACAAGGGGGTGAGTCCTGGCCTGGGGCCCGGCGCCTTCCTGCTCCCCTGCCCCTGGTGGGCACTGCGTGAAGGCTGGCACAGGCGGGCTGTGGGCCTGCCCTGGGAGCTGAGCCTGCCAGGAGAGCTGAGGGGCTCTGAGGCCCATGAGCCTGCCCTGCCCACACAGGGAGGGGGTGGGGAGCACAGGCAGGCCGCAGTGCCCAGCACCCACCTGGAGGCGGTGAAGATGTGCTTGGCGTTGGTGCACACGGCATTGATGGGGCTGTCATGGCCCTTGATCTCACCAAGGGGCGAGAAGTTGTCCACGTTCCAGACCTTGATGACGCCCGCGCGGCAGGCGCTCAGCAGCATGGGGCGGCCGGGGACGAAGGCCAGGGCGCACACCCAGTCTTTGTGTGCGTTGGGGATTTGCTGCAGGGGGAGCCGGCGGGTGAGGGCTGGGGGGGTGGGGTGCCAAGGAAGGAGAAGCAAGGAGAGGACCCTGCAGGCATAGGGCGGCCCCGGGCTCCCTTCTGCCACTAGAAGCCCCAGGTCCCAGGAGCCAGGCCTGGCCACCCATGCTGGGAACTGCAGGGACCCAGACGAGGGTCCTGTGGTCCCCCCACTCAGGTTCAAACCTAAGAACCTTCGCTGAGAGAGCCCTTCAGCCCTCAGATGGGTGAAGGCAAATGTGAAAGGTCCCAGAGAGGGATCCTGTTGGCGGAGCGCCCCGGCCCAGCCCTGGGCCGGGAGCAGCGGCATGGGCCGTGGGCCCGGGGGTGTCAGGAGAGGCCGCAGGCGGCAGGGGGAGGACAGACAGGGCGCCCGGGTTCCTGGGCGCGGCCCGGGATGGGAGCCCCCTCCCCACCCCTCCCCCACCTGGATGAGCTCCTGCCGCTCCAGGTCCCACTTCTTGATGCCGTTATCCCGGGAGCCGCTGAACAGGGTGCCCCCCTGGATGGCGAGACACTCGATGCCGTCGTAGTGCGGGGGCTCAAAGTTGTGGGTGGGGCTGATGGTGCCTGTCACACACTCACCCAACTCGAACATCTGGGGGGTGATGGGTGGGTCGCGAGAGCCCGAGAGAGGAGGGCGAGGGCAGGGCCGCCCACCCACTCGGGACAAGCAGCAGGGTGCCTAGGAGCCAGCAGGGCTGCCCTGGGGGGGACAGTGTCCCCAAGGGAGGGCCTGGGGACACCCCACAGCTCAGCAGACAGCTGCTAACGGAGAAAGCTGGGTTTGGGGCGTGAACCTCCCCCTAAAATTCTTTTATTTTCTAATAAATAAATATAACACTACTTGTGCTTTAAATTAAAAGTCCTCATGATCCCACCACCGTCCTTTTCCCTTTTCACAGACAGCCTTCCAGTTTCCGACCCCATCCCTGCGGTTTCCAGTGACGTAACCAGGAAGCGAACAAGGCCGTGTGGCTTTGCGCCCCCGTGTCTTGTTTTATATTCGTCACCGTGCCCGTCACATTGCATTTCGCCCGGTGGGCTTTCCCTAGTTCACCTCACTGTATTCTACCCTGAGACATTAAGGTTGTTTCTACTTTTTCACTGTTTATAAAACACCGCTGCCGTGACGGCCTGCACACCTTGCTTCCCCAGGGTGGTTTCCCAGCAGCCTCCCTACTTCCCACGAGTGCGCCCAAGGCCACAGAGGGCGGAGGAGGGACAGCGAGCGAGAGCCCTCCAGGGGCGCCCCCGCGCCCAGGCCCCAGAGCAGAGGCCCCCTCAGGTACCTTGACATAATGGTCCTTGGAGCCCGTCACCACCAGGTCGTGCTGGCTGGCGGTCTGGGTGACGGTCAGGCACATCACGGGGCCAATGTGGCCGGTCAGCTTGCCCACGGGCTGGAACCTGTGGTGGGGAGAGGCCCGGTGGGGGCTGGGGGTCAGTGGGAACCCTGGGCTGGGCTGAGGGTTTGCCCCAGGATGAACAGGCCTGGTTGGGGCACACTCTTCCTTAAAGCCAGATCAAGAACCTAGACATGAGCTGCCCTGTACCAGGAGGAAGTGGGTCCTGTATCTCAGAGGGGGGCACAAGCCCAGCCCCATGGGGGTACAGAGGGGCAGCTGAGGTCCCGTCCGCCGGGGGGAGCAGCCCACACCGACACCCACTGGGCCACTGCAGGCCCTCTGCCCCTCCCCAGGCCTCCCCCTGACCTGCTGAGTTCCCAGATGCGCACGGTTTTGCCCGAGGCGGCGTATAGCATGGTGCCCGAAGGGCTGAGGGCGATCTGGTTGATGTGGTGCTCCCCCTGAGTGCTGGTGACGGCCCGGGTGGATGAGGCCGCGCAGGCGTCACCCAAGATGGCCTGGCCTGAGGACCTGCCGTGAGGAAGACAGGCAAGGATGGAGACCAGAGTGACCCAGCCACAGGGACAGAGGCCATCAAATCCCTCTCGGTCGGGGCCTGATCACCCACTTCTCCCAGGAAGCCTTCCCTGACTGATGGAAAAGCAATGGCTTCTCCTGGAAGTTTCTGGTCTGATGAGGGCGGGACCGGGGGTGACAGCCCCACTCTGCCACCTGCAGAAGGCACGTCCCTGCATCTGCCCTGCACCCGGCCCTGGCGGACCATCACCTACCCTCTCTGAGTCCCAGTTTCCTTCTCTGTGAAGAGAGGTGACAAACCCATTCTCTTTACTCTGCACATTTTTTGTTGCTGTTTTTTTATAAAAAGATTATTTTTTAGCACAATTTTAGATGCACAACAGACTTGAGAGGAGGGTTTGGAGGTTTCCCCACACCCCAGCCCCAGGGCATTATTACATGTTCCCCTGCTGCACCCCAACCCCACCAGACGGTGCCCTCATCACAGCTGAGAACCCCCAGTCCACAGCTGACACCAGGGTCACCCTACTATAGATAAATCTGTAATGACCCGCATCCACCGTGGTAGTGACATTTAGTGCACTTTCACTGGCCTCAGAATCCAGCGTTTACTCTTTCTTGAGGATTGGATTAAGGAATGGATGATAGCTGACGATGTGTGCACAGGAACGACGCGTGACTTTTGCTAGGAAACAGTCTCATTTTGAAGAAGCCCTTGTGTTCGTGCCCTGTGTGTCTGTCTGCCAGAGGCTGTCAGGGCCAGGCCCCATAAGGGGACTCACTGCAGACAGGTGACGGCGCTGGGGGCCACAGCCTGCAGGTCTCACCTGCTCCCCAGCTCCGCTTTCCGACTCATCATGGGCCGTGGGCCCGGGGGTGTCAGGAGAGGCCGCAGGCGGCAGGGGGAGGACAGACAGGGCGCCCGGGTTCCTGGGCGCGGCCCGGGATGGGAGCCCCCTCCCCACCCCTCCCCCACCTGGATGAGCTCCTGCCGCTCCAGGTCCCACTTCTTGATGCCGTTATCCCGGGAGCCGCTGAACAGGGTGCCCCCCTGGATGGCGAGACACTCGATGCCGTCGTAGTGCGGGGGCTCAAAGTTGTGGGTGGGGCTGATGGTGCCTGTCACACACTCACCCAACTCGAACATCTGGGGGGTGATGGGTGGGTCGCGAGAGCCCGAGAGAGGAGGGCGAGGGCAGGGCCGCCCACCCACTCGGGACAAGCAGCAGGGTGCCTAGGAGCCAGCAGGGCTGCCCTGGGGGGGACAGTGTCCCCAAGGGAGGGCCTGGGGACACCCCACAGCTCAGCAGACAGCTGCTAACGGAGAAAGCTGGGTTTGGGGCGTGAACCTCCCCCTAAAATTCTTTTATTTTCTAATAAATAAATATAACACTACTTGTGCTTTAAATTAAAAGTCCTCATGATCCCACCACCGTCCTTTTCCCTTTTCATAGACAGCCTTCCAGTTTCCGACCCCATCCCTGCGGTTTCCAGTGACGTAACCAGGAAGCGAACAAGGCCGTGTGGCTTTGCGCCCCCGTGTCTTGTTTTATATTCGTCACCGTGCCCGTCACATTGCATTTCGCCCGGTGGGCTTTCCCTAGTTCACCTCACTGTATTCTACCCTGAGACATTAAGGTTGTTTCTACTTTTTCACTGTTTATAAAACACCGCTGCCGTGACGGCCTGCACACCTTGCTTCCCCAGGGTGGTTTCCCAGCAGCCTCCCTACTTCCCACGAGTGCGCCCAAGGCCACAGAGGGCGGAGGAGGGACAGCGAGCGAGAGCCCTCCGGGGGCGCCCCCCCGCCCAGGCCCCAGAGCAGAGGCCCCCTCAGGTACCTTGACATAATGGTCCTTGGAGCCCGTCACCACCAGGTCGTGCTGGCTGGCGGTCTGGGTGACGGTCAGGCACATCACGGGGCCAATGTGGCCGGTCAGCTTGCCCACGGGCTGGAACCTGTGGTGGGGAGAGGCCCGGTGGGGGCTGGGGGTCAGCGGGAACCCTGGGCTGGGCTGAGGGTTTGCCCCAGGATGAACAGGCCTGGCTGGGGCACACTCTCCCTTAAAGCCAGATCAAGAACCTAGACATGAGCTGCCCTGTACCAGGAGGAAGTGGGTCCTGTATCTCAGAGGGGGGCACAAGCCCAGCCCCATGGGGGTACAGAGGGGCAGCTGAGGTCCCGTCCGCCGGGGGGAGCAGCCCACACCGACACCCACTGGGCCACTGCAGGCCCTCTGCCCCTCCCCAGGCCTCCCCCTGACCTGCTGAGTTCCCAGATGCGCACGGTATTGCCCGAGGCGGCGTATAGCATGGTGCCCGAAGGGCTGAGGGCGATCTGGTTGATGTGGTGCTCCCCCTGAGTGCTGGTGACGGCCCGGGTGGATGAGGCCGCGCAGGCGTCACCCAAGATGGCCTGGCCTGAGGACCTGCCGTGAGGAAGACAGGCAAGGATGGAGACCAGAGTGACCCAGCCACAGGGACAGAGGCCATCAAATCCCTCTCGGTCGGGGCCTGATCACCCACTTCTCCCAGGAAGCCTTCCCTGACTGATGGAAAAGCAATGGCTTCTCCTGGAAGTTTCTGGTCTGATGAGGGCGGGACCGGGGGTGACAGCCCCACTCTGCCACCTGCAGAAGGCACGTCCCTGCATCTGCCCTGCACCCGGCCCTGGCGGACCATCACCTACCCTCTCTGAGTCCCAGTTTCCTTCTCTGTGAAGAGAGGTGACAAACCCATTCTCTTTACTCTGCACATTTTTTGTTGCTGTTTTTTTATAAAAAGATTATTTTTTAGCACAATTTTAGATGCACAACAGACTTGAGAGGAGGGTTTGGAGGTTTCCCCACACCCCAGCCCCAGGGCATTATTACATGTTCCCCTGCTGCACCCCAACCCCACCAGACGGTGCCCTCATCACAGCTGAGAACCCCCAGTCCACAGCTGACACCAGGGTCACCCTACTATAGATAAATCTGTAATGACCCGCATCCGCCGTGGTAGTGACATTTAGTGCACTTTCACTGGCCTCAGAACCCAGCGTTTACTCTTTCTTGAGGATTGGATTAAGGAATGGATGATAGCTGACGATGTGTGCAAAGGAACGACGCGTGACTTTTGCTAGGAAACAGTCTCATTTTGAAGAAGCCCTTGTGTTCGTGCCCTGTGTGTCTGTCTGCCAGAGGCTGTCAGGGCCAGGCCCCATAAGGGGACTCACTGCAGACAGGTGACGGCGCTGGGGGCCACAGCCTGCGGGTCTCACCTGCTCCCCAGCTCCGCTTTCCGACTCACAGGGTGATGTCCAGCTCACCCCAGAAGGGGCTTAGGAGGCTGGGGCAAGGGTGGGGCCACGCAGGCCAAAGGCCCGTGCATGCTGAAGCCACGGGCCTTCGGGTCTCTGTGCTCACGTACCTGAGCTGGGCTGTGCCACTGCGAGCTTGACATCGGGTACTTACGTGAGGGTCCGAATGCACTTGGCTGAGTCCCGGATGTCCCACACTTTGATATAGGAGGTGGACACGGAGAACACAAGCCCCGAGTGGCTGCAGTACTTGATGGAGACCACGTTGTTGGGGTGGCCCTTTAGCGCCGCAATCTCTTGCCCCGTAACCAAGTTCCACATCTTACAGCTACGGTCTGTGAGAGGCAGAAGGGGAGGGCCCCGTGTGGGGAGAGATGTCAGTCACCTCCCCCTCCTAGGGGCTGGGAGGTTGGGGGAGGGAGTCCAGAGAGATCTGGAGGAAGAAGCGTCTGGTCTGACGAAGAGAAAGACGTGCTCACGTGTCCTCATAGGACGCCTGCATGTGAAAGCTCACGAGGGACATCGGTCAGAACTCCAGACCAAGGCTTCCCAAGCAGACTTTCTGCCACCACTGGAGCTCTGTACACACTGTCAGTGTCCTGAGCTGAAATAAAATCTTAAACCTTTGGTGCCCAGCCCTACAACTGCTAATAGATGACAAAATTAATGAACAAATGGCAAGCAAATCTCATGGGAGTAGCTTGGAATGAATTGATTGCACCTAGATTGACAAATCCGCCCCCTCCCACCATGCAGAGTGCGCTCTCTCTCAACTATCGACCTGCCTATCTACATGTGTGTGTGTGTGTGTGTAGACCTATGTGTCGACATCTCCATGTACATGTGGACATGCGCTCATCTGTTGGCATGTCTCCTCAGAGCTGTTCTTTCTGCTGGTACCATTTCTCTGGTTTTGCCGTGGCCCAGTCATGGGGACTCTGTGGCTCCCTGCTGCCGAGATCACAGAACTGCCTGGATGTAAGTGCTGGGATAGGCAGACGGGCTGGGGCACCTGAGAGGCTTCCAGGAGTCTGAGAAGTCTGGAGGGAAGAGCTGCACGAAGCCCCCAGGGGCGGCTCCGCGGGGAGGCGTGGCCGGGGACGCCTGGGATGGGGAGCCCTGAGCCAAGGCCAGAGGTAGGAGACATGGCAGTGAGCAGGCTGGGGCCAAGGGGAGACCCTAACCCTACCTGGCCAGTGCAGGGAGCACCCACCTTTGGACCCTGTGAAGAGCAGCTCGTCCGTGGTGTCCAGACAGAGGACAGGCTTGGTGTGGCCCTCGGCCATGGAGACACACTGCAGCGGGGCTGTGCGCGCACCCTTGGCCCCTCCGACAGGGGTGATGATGCCCCTTCCGGGAGAGAGAGGAGAGGGTGTGCCCATCAGCCAGGGCGACTGGGGCCAGCTGAGGGGCATGTAGGGAGAGGGTGCAGGGCCCTGGGACAGAGACTCTGGAGAGGCCAGCCCAGTGCCACCAAGGTCTGGGGCTGCGCGGTGGGGGCGGGCCTGCCTCACGGGGACCTGCCCGCTGCACTTCTGAGGGGCCTAGCCCTCCACCTCCGGCGCAGCTGGGAGGGGAAGGCCCTGCCCTCAGGCGTTCCCATCTGATGCCTGCCTGACCCAGATCCAGAGATAGTAAATGCACCCAGGCCCCAGCTGGGCAGGGTAGAGGCCCCAGGGCCGGGATGGCTCCAGAGCTCCCACCACTCCTGCAGCTGCTTCAGTTAACCCAGGGTTAGGTTGGGGTGCAGGGGGGATGCTCAGGCCAACACCCCAAGCACCTGGGTCCCAGCATGCGTGCACATGTGCATCCCTGGGGCCCCTTGACTAGCACAGTCAGCCCTGCCACTGTCACCTGCAGAGGCCTAAACCCTTGAGGAAACCCCCACTCAGCTCTGGGTTAGAATTCTGGAACCTTCGGGGGAATGCGGCACGTGGACCTGGGGTGGCACCTTCTGGCTCTGGGGAACACGCTGGGGGAGGGGAGGAGGCTTATCCTGGGCAGAGCAGCTTCTGCAACAGCCTCCCGGGGGTCCTGAGAGGAAGGGCTTTTTCTCAGTGAGGGTCTTTGTAACGAGGCCCTGGCTGAGTCATGGGCAGGTCTGATAACAGGTCCTAGCTCTTCTCCAGAGAGGCAGCTGCATCTGACGGCAGCGCTGGGGCCGGGGTGCGCTGACATGGCAAGTGTCTCCTGCACCCACAGTGTTTCTCACAGCTCCACGGACTGAGTCATCCCCCACTGTGCGGCTGGCGATCAGACAAGTCCCGCTGTCAGCCAGGTGTCACCCAGCCGCGAATGGCCCCCCGCAGCCCTGGCTCCCTGCCTCTGAGGCTGGCTGGGCCCCACTGTGTGGCGGGGAAGCAGCCTAAGACTGCTGTGGGAAGTGCATCAAAATGACAACCCCCCTCGGCGAGACAGGCTGGTGGCTGGTGAGCACATCGCAGTGGCAAAGCCTGCTGCCCAGAGGAGGGCTTACAGAGCCATCAACACCCTGGGCGGGAGGCGCGGTGGCAGCAGGCACAGTGGGGGAGCAGGGGGGAGCCTTGGCCTGGCCCGCTGCCCATGAGGGGCTCAGGCTGACCAGGTGCTGGAACCTGCTCCCCCAGTGAGGTGGCTGGGGGACCTGGCCTCTGGTCACCCACAAGCTGGGAGAGGAGGCTCCCTGGCGCTCCTGGTCTGTGTGCCAGCAGAGGTGGGCAGTGGGCAAGTCCTTTCTTGCTATGCCTCTCAGAGCCGAGGTTGGAAGCGCATACCCCACTGGCACAAACTGAGCAGGTCACAGGGATGTGGACACAGGCACCGACACCCCCCACCGAGGACCCGCACCCCGCTGCTCCCGCAGGCCCCGGGCCTTTCGGGTTTCCCATGCCCCTGTCCCCTCGGCAGAGCTCAGCCCCAGCCCGAGCCCCGAGTGCCCATGCGCCGCCCCTCCCTCCCCAGTGACGAAGGGGAAGGGAACAGGGCCTGCCACAAGCGACTGCACACCCCTCCCCAAGCCCCCGGCTCCAGCCAGCCTGGTGCACAGGCCACGCAGCCACCCTGGAGGGAGGAACCTGTGGGGCAGGAAGAGGTCTGGGAGAGCGGGGCAGGGACACATGCGGGGCAGGGGCACGCGGGGGAGGCGGAGGGGAGGGCGAGGACAGCGAGCACCAGGGAAGCGCGCAGCGGACTTCTGCGTGTACCTCAGGACCTCCGACAAAGAGGAGTCGCTGTCGTCAGACCTGGGAGGGCAGAGAATTAGCTGGATTAGGGGGAGAGAGGAAAAGACACACAGGGGACGGCAGGGCAGCAGCGTGGGGGGCAGAGGCGGGTTATTCTCTCCAGGGGTGGAGAGAGGAGGCAGAAGGGGGGTGCTCAGGGGGAGGAGGGGAGGTGGGTGCCGGCAGGCCAGGGAGCCGGGGACGCCCGCGGCTGGTGGGGAGGAGGGAGGCGGGTCCACAGGGGGAGGTGGGTGAGCCAGGCTCACATTCTGGGGAGACTTTGTGGGCTGTTAGCTGGTTCCAAGCTCTCTGGCCGCCCCCCTGCACAAGCTGGGGGCACCCGCCCCAGCCCAGCAGGGCTCAAATCTGCCCAAAGCCAGGGGAAGCCATGCCTGTCCGACTCCTGCCTGGGAGCCGGCTTCTTCAAGCAATTCTTCAGGAACTGCCTTGTTTACAAAGCCCCCTGTCCCCGGCGAGCCTACTGGGATGTGCCCAGGAGCTGGGTCTGTACCACACGTGGGCTCTGAGACCTGGACACTGGACGGGACTTGGTCCGGGAGCCCACCAAGCTAGGAGGCCGGAGCCCCACCCCAGTACTTCCGAAAAAGGGAGCTGTCAAAGGTGAAGGCCTGGGCGCTCCCGGGCGGGCGCAGGTCAGGCTTGATACATTCCTCCTGCAACAGACGCTGAGCCAAGGGGGGCTTAGGAAAGCGCCTGAGGAAGGGATATTTCTACGTGATGAGCAGGCGTCAGGCACCAGGCACAAGGACTATCGCTTTCTGGCCTGGGCGCCCCTGAAGGACACCCTGTCCCCAGGGCAGAGAAGATTTTTGGGAGTCAAGAGAGGGGCCCTCTTGGGGGCTGCAGAGAGCTGGGGGGCTGGGGTGGGGCCCAGCAGGGTAGGGAGCTCTGGGAGGAACACATGGAGGTCGGGGTCCCCCTCTCCCAAAGCAGAGTCCTGCTGTTAGGAACACATGCTGGCGTCTGTCAGAACCTCTGGTTCTGGGCTCAGCTCTGCCACTTTCTAGGTGACCATCCTCAGGTCCTCTCTGAACCTCGTGCTCTCTTCTGTAAAATAGGGAAGACCATCTCATGGCAGGGAGGTGACAGTGTGAAGGCAGGTGCGGCCTGAGGGCGCCTTCTGCATGTGGGTTGCTGTGAGTGTCCACCATGCCACTGCAGGCCTGGCAGCTCCACGGGAGCTGTAGGGACAGGCTGAGCTGGCCTGGCCACGTGAGGGTAGTCAGGGGGGTCCCTTTGTGCTGAGAATGCAGAAGGGCCGCTGGGGACAGGGAGTGGCTGAAGCAGAAAGAAGAGGCTCAAAGGAGAAGCAAAGAACCAAGGATTCAGCAGCAGAGGCCTTGAGGGCGTTCTGGGGTGGCCCTCTGGGGCACCCGAAGTGCACAGCCATTCCCGCCTGACTGACCCTGGCCCCTGGCCCCCGGCCCCGCGGCTTCCTTCTGCCCTCTCCTGAGTCCCAGCATGCTCTGGCGGAAGGGAGGGGTCCACAGTCGGCTGTCAGGCCAGGGCCACGCGGCCTCATCTCTCCAAGGTGCTGAATATCATAGTCAGGGTCTGTCCAGCTGCCCCAGACCCGCCTGCAGCTAGGCCCACAGGCCCCTTCCCCCGTCAGCACCCTCCCGGGCCCACCCTGGCTCTTACTTGTCCAGCGCTGACCCTTGGCTCTGATTACTGGTGAGACGAGAGAATACATTGCGGTCATTACGGGGCCGAGTGGGAGGGGACGAGGGGGGCGTGAACCCCACATCTGTGGACCTAGTGAGCGGGACAGAGAGCAGCAGCTATCAGTGACCACAGCTCTCCTCGCAGGCTCACACACGCTGAGCTCCCAGCACCACCTTCTGCCCCAGTGGTCGGCCTAGAGCCCAACTCCCAGCTGAGCCCCAGAGGCTGTCCTTAAAGAGCCCACCCCTATGTTCACGGACCCAGGTGGGAATTCACAGATCGCTGAGATGTAGGTGTGACCCTCAAACCATACACACAGGGCTTTGGGGCCGTTTGCAGGCAAGAGGGGAGCTGCAAATAGCTGAGTCCGCAAATGCACACACGCCCCCCAAGGTCAAGCAAGGAGACCGCCTGCCCTCTTGCTGTGGCTCATTCTATAAACAAGTGGCCTTTCTGTGGTCTATTTAGTGCCACACTTTTTTGCACTTCTGTGCTTTTTCCTGGTGACGTCACCATCTAAGACGAAGCCAAGCATTGCACTGACATGCCATCTGGTGTCTGTGAGCACGTGAAGGCTGCGATGTGCCTTGTGGAGAAAACGTGTGCTAGAAAGGCTTCATTCAGGCGTGAGTTACCGTGCCATTGGCGACAAGTTCATGTCAGTGAACCAAGAATATATATATCAAGGTGTCTTTAAACAGAAACACATACAAGGTCACGTACTGACCAGTGGATGAAAATGCTGGGGGCTCACAAGAGCCCGACTTTATGGGACAGAACTACTGTGGGGACTGAGACCCCGCTGTGCCACGGGGGAAGCGTGTAAGACCTCGCCGCACTGCCATTCCCGGAGCCCGAGATCCACCTATTTGGAAAGCCGTCACGAGGCTTAGCTGCAACCCCCCTCACCCTGGAGAGCATCAGGAGCTCAGCCTAAATCCCTCTGACCGCGACTTGCATGTTCTCTCAGCGGGTGAAGGGACGGCCCGTGAGGCCCCATGTGTACAGACTTCCTGGCAGGGCCTCCCTGCCAAAAGCCCCTCTGTGAGCCACTGGCATGCACATCTGCCCGGGCCCTGGACGGGAGGCTGGGCTGGGAGCTGAGCACATCCGCCCCTCGCCTTCCGCCGGGTCAGGGGACAAGGTCATCTTGAGCCCCTGGTCTTCCACTATTTAGCTGTGTGACCTGGAGAAAGCCACCAAACCTCTCGGAAGCTTAGGTGCAGGGGCCACAGGATCCTCACAGGCACCGGCTGCTGTGCAGAGGCTCTGTGGGCCTGGTCCTGTAAGGAGCTGAGCAGCTGCAGGCTTGGCCGATCTGTGAGCATTTTCGTTTAAGCCTCTGCTCCTCTCACAAGACAAGACTTTGAAAAGGGCTGAAGCTTCCCAAGGACCCGTGGAAGTGCAAAGGGGCTGGAGCACATCAGTACAACACCAGCTCAAGCCACAAGACAGCCCCCAGGGTGGGGTGCCCATCAGTTGACCATTGTTGGCAGCAGCCTTGGCCACCCACTTCAAAGGTGCTTATCTGAGCCCACCCAACAGGCGGGGGAAGCTGATGACAGACTGGCCAGGACTAAAGGGCATACATGGAGATCCAGGAAGTGGGTGAACGAACATGCAGTGAATCGTGCGTCCAGGGACCGGACGGGCAGCGACCCGGTCAGGCTCTGGAACATGCTCTCACCTGATAGGCTGCCCTCGGTCATACGACTTCCTTCGGGTCAGAGGGGACGTGTCCGTGCCTCGGGACTGTCGGGGGCTGGAACACAAGGGCCCCGTGAGGCCCAGGCCTGACTCCCTGCCCACCCTGCCCCATGGCCTGGCCCCTCTCCTCACAAAGTGCTCCCTTTGGTGGGCAGGCTGATGGTGCGCGAGACCTCGTCCCGGTAGTAGGGGTCCCGGATGGAGAAGCCCACTCCGTCCTCTTTGATCTCAACGAGGGAAGCCAGGGACTTGGTGATATTCTTGGTAGAGATGTCCAGTGGGGGGCCCAGGCACTCAGCTGATACCGCCTTCATTTGGCCAGACAGCTTGGGCTCGCCCTGGGAAAGGAAGGGCTGCGGTAGGCAGGCCTGCCCAAGCGGGATGCACAGCGACAGGCAGCGAGGAGAGTCCAGCCCGGGAAGGTGCCACTGGCCCAGGGAGGGCAGCGAGTGGGGGGAACCGCTCAGGCAGCACCAGGACCGCCTCTCGAGCTCCCGGAGAACCCGAGGCAGCTGCCTGGTTCCACCGCTGTTCGGCCTGTGCAAACACAGGACACCCAGACCGGCTGCTTCCCGGGCACCAGCTAGCCGGTTTACCCACAAACTATGCCCTTCGCTGTTCCCATTCTGCAGTTCCTTTTCCCTTCTCTCCTTAATAAATCCTGTTCGGGTTCAGGCTGGTAACTGGTCCCTGGCTGGTAGGGAAGCTGCCCGCCGCTGACTCCCACACTGCTGGCTCAGCGATCTGCGTGCTGGAGAGCTAGCAGTCTAGAGTGGGTCTTTGACTTGCAGCCCGAGGCAGCGTCTGGAGTTGGGGCAGGGGAAGGTTATTGAAAGCAGGGCCCTGGCTGGGATGGTGTCACGGCCACTTCTCCCTCCTTCCGCCCACGTCAGAAGGAACGGGCTGTAACAGGTCACACTGCAGCACGCCAGTTCCAGGCTAAGTTCCTCTCGGACCTCCTCCCACTGGAGGCAATACTGGGTGAGGGCTGGGGGTGGGGGCCAAGCCACAGGAAGGTGGGGGCCAGGCTGTGGGGAGGCCCGCCCTGCAGCAGCTCACCTTGAACTTGAAGTCATCATGGCTGGTGGAGCCTTTCATGGTGAACGACTGTGAGAAGCTAAGGAAGGAGAGAGAGTTCTGGGTTCTGATGTCCGCCGTTCTGGCTATCTGGGCCTCAGACTCATGGCCCCCAAAGAGCCCCCAGCCCAGGCTTAGCCCTGGGACCCTATGGCGACTCCCCAGCCCCCACCCCAAGTTCATGCTGAGAGTCAGCTTCCCAATCCAGCTGGGAAACTCACCTCCCCTCGGAGAATTCCGAGACCTCCTCATCCGTGCTGGCATAGCCGTTCTCTGTGGGAGGGATGGGGCAGGAGGGCTGAGAGAGCTCCCGCAGGGTGAGGGCAGGCGGGACGGCCTTCCCGCCACATCTCACCCACGGGGGCAGACCCCTGCCTCCAGGGAAGCAAGGGCCTCCGAGGGAGGAGCCGGGAGCCTGGGACACCTAGAGCTGCACGCCCTTGCCCACACCCATGTACCCTGCTGCACGTTGTAGATGAGGGCCTGCAGCTCGGGGTGCGCCTCGGCCTTCTCACGAAGGGCATCCAGGAGCAGGTGGTTCTGAGAGGAGCCCGCTATGTCTGTCTGCCTCAGCCGTCCCTCCAGCAGCCGTATCTGGGCCTCCTTCTGTGCCACTTGCAGCCCCTGAGGGTGGGGAGCAAGTCCTGGGGTCGCCTTCCTGCTGGGGGCTGAGGCCACCCCAGCACTGCCCCACACAGCCCGCCCGCAGCAAGGCACCTTGGGGGGCCTAGGCATCCCCTGTGCCTGCCCGGACCTGAGACACCCTCCCACCCTCTTCACTCTCCATGTATTAGTGGAGGCCACCTTAGGACACACTGCATGGTCTGGGCCAGACTGTGACCCCCAGAATGCATATGTTGATACTCTAATCCCCAGGCCCTCAGAATGTGACTGTATATGGGGATGGTCTTTAAAGAGGTAATCAAGGTGAAATGAAGTCACCGACATGACTGGTGTCCTTGGAGAGGACATTAGGACACAGACCCCCACACAGGGAGAGCCACGCGGATAGAGTGACAGTCATGCATAGGCCGAGCAGAGAGGCCTCGGCAAGAACCGGCCCCGCCCGGCCCCTGCTCTCGGACTTCGGTCTTCAGACTGGAGACAATCCTGCTGCACTGTGTGGGCTGCCCAGTGCGTGCCAGCAGCCTGACGCACTCCCAAGACACGGAGCGGAGCGGAGAGCTCACTGGGACACCGAGGGGACCCGGAGGGCAGCCTCCCCACCCCCTCCCATTACACTGTGTGCACACTGCATGGTGTCTGTCCCCAGGGGAAGGAGGTGCATCCTCTGGCCAGCTGTCAGGGAAAGGGGGGAGCCCGGGACACCTGGGGACACCCGATGTTCTGTGTAAACATTTCTGGGTGGAACGCGGTCTGTCTGTCTGTCTGTCTGTCTGTCTCTGCCCCACCCCAACATACAGACACACTTCTCCCTCTGCAATCAGCAGACCCAAGCCCAGCCCTGCTGCAGACAGACCTGGGCCAGACACGTAGGGTCCATCCCTAATGGGGGCCCTGCTCTGTGCCGGGCGCCGTGCCAAGCCCCGTGCATACATCATCTCGTTAAAGTCATGACATAAGCCGTCATCACCCCAGCTTTATCTGGAATAGGAGGCCCAGGGAGAGGCGGCCTGCTCGAGCCTGTAAATGCCGCAGGCCAGGAGGAGCCCAACCCTGGCCGCACGGTGAGGACAGCCCACAGAGGCATCTGTGCCCACTGGGACCCTTCCCAGGGGTGGTGGGGGGGCTGCCACTCGCCTTGTCAATGGACGCCTTGAGAAAGTTGTCCAGCAGGAGGCGGGCTTCAGCCAGGGAGCAGGAGCTGATGACCACCGACGTGTCTGTGGAGTCCAGCTCCTCCTACAGGAGGCAGAGACCCTGTTGCTGGGCTGCCCTGCCCACCCACACGGCCCTCCGGCCTCCGCCCTGGCCCTGGCCCGGCCTGGCACCTTGGTCTCCTCCAGCTGCACGATGGTGGCCTGGCAGTCTGTGATGCTGTCATTGATGTAGTCGATGTTGGCCGCCAGCACCTCGATCTCCTCGGCCAGCTCCTGCAGCCCCTTCTCCTCCTCGGGGCTCTCAGCCTGCAGTCGCTCCCGCTTCCTCCGCAGGTTCTCCTGCAGGAGGAAGAGCTCCTCCCTTTTCTGGGGGTGGGGGTGGAGGACAGGCCTCAGGCTGCTGCCCAGCTGCGCCCTCGTTCAAGGTGAAATGAAGTCACCGACATGACTGGTGTCCTTGGAGAGGACATTAGGACACAGACCCCCACACAGGGAGAGCCACGCGGATAGAGTGACAGTCATGCATAGGCCGAGCAGAGAGGCCTCGGCAAGAACCGGCCCCGCCCGGCCCCTGCTCTCGGACTTCGGTCTTCAGACTGGAGACAATCCTGCTGCACTGTGTGGGCTGCCCAGTGCGTGCCAGCAGCCTGACGCACTCCCAAGACACGGAGCGGAGCGGAGAGCTCACTGGGACACCGAGGGGACCCGGAGGGCAGCCTCCCCACCCCCTCCCATTACACTGTGTGCACACTGCATGGTGTCTGTCCCCAGGGGAAGGAGGTGCATCCTCTGGCCAGCTGTCAGGGAAAGGGGGGAGCCCGGGACACCTGGGGACACCCGATGTTCTGTGTAAACATTTCTGGGTGGAACGCGGTCTGTCTGTCTGTCTGTCTGTCTGTCTCTGCCCCACCCCAACATACAGACACACTTCTCCCTCTGCAATCAGCAGACCCAAGCCCAGCCCTGCTGCAGACAGACCTGGGCCAGACACGTAGGGTCCATCCCTAATGGGGGCCCTGCTCTGTGCCGGGCGCCGTGCCAAGCCCCGTGCATACATCATCTCGTTAAAGTCATGACATAAGCCGTCATCACCCCAGCTTTATCTGGAATAGGAGGCCCAGGGAGAGGCGGCCTGCTCGAGCCTGTAAATGCCGCAGGCCAGGAGGAGCCCAACCCTGGCCGCACGGTGAGGACAGCCCACAGAGGCATCTGTGCCCACTGGGACCCTTCCCAGGGGTGGTGGGGGGGCTGCCACTCGCCTTGTCAATGGACGCCTTGAGAAAGTTGTCCAGCAGGAGGCGGGCTTCAGCCAGGGAGCAGGAGCTGATGACCACCGACGTGTCTGTGGAGTCCAGCTCCTCCTACAGGAGGCAGAGACCCTGTTGCTGGGCTGCCCTGCCCACCCACACGGCCCTCCGGCCTCCGCCCTGGCCCTGGCCCGGCCTGGCACCTTGGTCTCCTCCAGCTGCACGATGGTGGCCTGGCAGTCTGTGATGCTGTCATTGATGTAGTCGATGTTGGCCGCCAGCACCTCGATCTCCTCGGCCAGCTCCTGCAGCCCCTTCTCCTCCTCGGGGCTCTCAGCCTGCAGTCGCTCCCGCTTCCTCCGCAGGTTCTCCTGCAGGAGGAAGAGCTCCTCCCTTTTCTGGGGGTGGGGGTGGAGGACAGGCCTCAGGCTGCTGCCCAGCTGCGCCCTCGGCTCCCTGGAGGTCGGCCCCTGGGGACCCCCTGCACCTCTGGCTTCCAGGGCAGGCACAGGGAGCAAGAGGAGAGGGGCCACAGACAGGTCTGAAGAGCCAGAGAAGCCGGCAGTGACGGCGGACAGGCAGAGCGGAGGTGGGGGGCAAGGGGAGGCCAGGGCCGGGCCGCCCGGGCCCACCTTGATGAGTCGCTCCATGTCGGCCTCCAGGTTGACGATGGTCATCCTCTGCATGACAATGTCGATGATCCGGCGCTCCAGGGACTGCCACTTGAGCCTCGCAGCCTTACTGAAGCTTTGGCTGGCCCCTTTCTTCTGGAACTTCTTTCTGGGAGACAAGGCCAAGGGGATTGGACAGGACCACTCTTGACGCCTGCAGCTCCACGGAGCTCCTACCTGGAGCCGACAGGCCTGGGGACGCATCACAGGGCCACACTTCCCTGGAGCTCGCCTCTCCCAGGTCCCGCCCCCACATTTCCACCCCCTCTACCTACACAGGCCCGGGTACCACCTGCCCACCTCACCTGGCGGGGCGGGTGCCATTGACAGTGGGCCCGGGGTGGTCCCCCAAGAAGTGGTTGATTTTGCGGTTCCACTGGCGCACGATGCTGGAGACAGAGCGGGCACCCGACTCAGCCTCCGACGAGGTCGTGCTGGCAGAGACTTCAGCCCCCGAATCCAGCATGGGTGGCTTCGGTCCTGTGCGTCCTGCCACCCGCTCAGACATGGGCTTGGCCAAGCGCCTCAGAGCAGAAACCTGGGGGCCAAGAGAAGAAGGGCCCAGTGAATGGGGTGTCCTGGAGCCCACGGAAACGCCGACTGGGGGGGCACGAGGCAGGCAGAACACAGGGGCTGCTCCAACTCGGCCTGGGCTTGGGGCTGAGCGAGGGTCAAGGGGTCTGTCTCGTGTGAAATGGACACAAAGAGACTTCCACCTTTTTAAGTGACATCTCAGCCTGTGGGACGGGCACCTACAGACGGCCCATGGGACTCAGCTCTCGCTGAGAAAGGCTCCCCGCACGGGCCTTACAAGCCCACTCGCTGAGCGGAGGAGCCAGACCTGGGACCGCAGGCTAGCCTCGCACCCCCCACCCGCAGAAGCCAGAGGGGAGCAGGGCAGGTGCACGCGGGGGGTGGGGGCCCTGCTCACCTCCTGGGTTTTCCTCCTCAGCACCATTTCCTGCTGCCGCTTCTGGGACTCCAGAGCTCGGATCTGAAACTGCAGGTGAGGGAGGGGGGGCCGGAGCCCATCTTAAACACCTAAGCCTGTTCTGCCCAGGCTGGAATGAGGAAGGCCTGGCCAGCCCCAAGGGTGAATGCCTGGGCTTCAGGGCCATTCTCGCTGATGAGAGGGGACCAAGGGCTTGGTTCCCCTTCCCAGGGGTCACAGTGCAGGCCCCTTTCTCTGCAAAGGCAATTCGCCTGGCCTCTTCTCCCCACCGCGAACAAGGAGCCCGGGACCAGAGGACTCAAGGCTGAACGCCGCACAGTCCTAGCTCTGGCTTGCTGGTGATCCTGGGCAAGGTCCTACCCTCTCGGGGCTGGAGACCCTCCCCCGGACAGCACAGGGGCTGGACACCCTCAGTGGTCCTGCCCTTCTCTGCCATGCTGTGCTCTGCCCCGGTGAGACCTCTACCATTCAGGAGCGCGGGAGCCCAGACCTGCTTGGCCGGAGGGGCAGCCTGGCACCAGGGAGGCTGGCGGTGGGGGCTGAAGGCTCAGGGACCCTCGCGGGCCACCCCTCACCTCCTGTCGCCGCTGCTCCTTCTTGAGCTGGGCGATCTCGCGGTTCCTCTTGGTGTCCACCAGCCGCCGGCGCTGCTGCTCCTCCCGCATCTGCTTCATCAGGGCCACCTGGGGCGCACAGAGGGGGCCGGGAGGCAGGGCTGGGCAGGCGGCTCACACCCTCTGGGGAGTGGCCGGCTCCAAGGACGCTGGGCAGGGGGGAAGCTGCCAGGCAGCACTGGCTCAGGCTCGGGGGTCTGGAGGGAGGGGTCTGACCTCTCCCTGCAAGACTTGAGCTGCTCCAGCACCCGGGCCACCTGCTGAAAGGTGCGGCCTTACTGCCAGCCCAGCCTGCAGGTGCCACTACTCTGCAAGGGCCTCCACTGCCCTGAAAGTCTCAGCTCCTGTGGCCTCACCCAAAGCCCATTCTGGGTCTGGCCATGCTAGGACCACCTGGGCTGCTGGAGGCAAGTAATCCCACCTGATGGAGCCCGTCCCTCTCCCCCAGAGGGTGAGGTCAGGGCCAGGCTCGCAGGGACAGCAATGTAAGCCAGCACCACTTACGGAGAACATGCCCTATGCCCAGCATGGTCTGCATGACAGTCATTCGAGAACAGTGTTGTCACCCCGTTTCATAAGAGGAAAGGAGCCTCAAAGAGACGCACCAACTTAGAGTCATAACACTGTCACTCATAAAGTCACACAACGACTCAGCATTGCCTGGCCAGGCTTCCAGCCCAGGTCATTTGCCCCCAACATCTGGCTCTTACTTCAGCCCCAGGGCTGGGACTGACCATGGCAGTTCAGAGCAAAGCGAGTGACCAGGTACAGAGAGAGCCTGGAGCCTACAGTCCTCGGAGGGGTGGATGGAGGCACAGAGAGCACCATCGGTGTGGCTGCAGTCGGCCCAACACGGCGCAGTGCCATGGACCTCGGGCGTGTGCTCCCGCCAAGTCCTGGTGCCCTAAGCACCAGAGTGCAACGTACGCAGGGCTGTAGACACTTTCCCCGGTCAGGTGTGTGACGATCACGTGGAGGGTGATCCCTTCTCTGCCACCAAGGCCTCAGACATCACCAGGAAGGTTAGCAGCCTGCACGGCCTGGGGACAGTCACGAGAGGCACTGGCGTGGGAGGGAGGGAGGCTCCAAGGGCCGGGGTCTGGTGGGGTCGGCTTCTTCCTTGGAGGACAGGCTGTGCTGCGGGCGTCCATACAGAATAGGAGGGCCCACTGCGGCCAGGTCTCTGGGGTCCAGAATGATCGTTCTCCCAAAGGACTAGGACTCACACCAAACCAACATGGCCGAGAGTGGACTGGAAGCCCCAGCCCACCAGATGCCACGTGCAAATCTGAGATGGCAGGTGTCTTCTGGGGTCGGGGGTCAGAGGCTCCTGGGGAGGAACTATGTCCTCCTGGACAAAGGCCATCTGCCCATCAGCCCTGGACCTCTATGGAGGTCATCACAGAGGTAGCGGTCTCAGGAAGGGCGGGCACACTGCAGGCACCGACAGTGCTGAAACGGGCCACAGCACCTGAGCCCAGCATCCCACCATGGATTGCAAGTAAGCAGTGTCCCCCTCCTAGAGACCGTGGTGACTGTGCACGCACCCCAGAGTCCTGTGACTCAGTGGGCCCTGCTGCTGCGCTGTGGGGGCGGGGGTGGCGTCTCTGGGGTGCAGGCTCTCATGGCATCTGGTTAAAATCCATGGCTCCTGCACACTCTCTCCTTCCAGCAGAAGCCCAGGGGCACCTCTGGAAGGTTCTTTTCAACCTCTAGCCTGGCTCACGAGAGCACAGGCTATGGGCAGAGCGCCAGCCACCTGGAGAGTGAAGCCCAGGGACACACGTGCGTCCTCTGTCCTTCAGACATCCGGCTTCCGGGCCACGCGAGGATCCTCCCTCACAACGATCTACAGTAGGGCCACTGCAGCTGGGATGTCCCTGGCTGGGACAGGCAGGGGCCGGCCCACAGAGCTATCAGCCAGGGCACCTCCAGGGGACACAGAGTGAGCACTAGCCCAGGAGCCGCCACAGGAGTGGCCTCAGATGCGTGCGCCCCCCACCCCCACCCCCAGCCAAGGGCCCACCGTTCGCTCCCTTCTGCACCACCAGAGGGCGCCAGGGTGCCCAGAGTCCCTTCAACCTCACCTCCGCAGCCCAGTCTCAACACCACACAGGGTAGGAGCAGAAGGAGGCCGGCCGTTTGGGGCCAGCTCCAGGCAGGCCCATCTGAGAACAGCAAGCCGGGGCCCGTCTCCACCCTGGTTAGGCTGACGGAGGCCCTGGACCTGTGCCCTAGGTGTGCTGGGGACAGCCTGCCCAGGAGGGGTGGCTGGCCCTGGTTGACTGCCAAGGACCCCCGTCCTCCCAGCACCTGTGCCACCATCACGCATCACCCCCTTCCCCCACTCACTGGGCAGCACCGGTTGAGTCCACACGGGAGGGCCAGCTCCTGGTGGTGCCCAGAATGCATACTGCCTCCCCCAAGTACCCGGTGTGCCCCTCTCTGGTGCCAGTTCCTGAGGCCAGGCCTCCCCAGCTGGCCGGGGCTGCCAAGTGCTGGGTTTTACCAGGGGAACTGGCCCAGGCTGTGGAGAGCGGGGGTACACTGGGGCTGCGGCCAGGAAGGCCAAGGGAGGGCGGGCACAGGGCGGGCACAGAGCAGCCCTGCTGGGCTCCAGGCAGGAGTGGGGGCACACCCGGGGAGTGAGGAGGCAGGAGGCCAGAGCCCAGAAGCCAGGGCCTCAGGGTGGGCGGCACACCCGAGACTAGAATACTGAGTGACGGCAGGCAGAAGGGGGAGGCACTGCCCCACGCACAGCACACACTGGCCTGTGCGAATCCCAGCACCACCACAGGGAGCGGGAAGTAGCTTTCCTGTGCTCACAGGAGGAATGATCGGCCCTCTTTCATGCGGATCTCCTTAGGACTGAATATGATCATGAGTGTCAGGCGCCTGGCCCCACTGGGCACTCAAACTGCGTTTCCTGGTGCTATTATTATTATTGCAGGCAAAGACCGCATAAATGAGGCCCACGTGCCCTTAGCGCAGGCTGGAACCTGTGGTGGTGCTTCCCGCCACAGGGGGCGGTGTTGAGCAGTGTCCCCTGGAGATCCCCACCTGCCCCTCACTGGGGGAAGGTGGCTTCACCCTGGACAACATACTCGGCTAAAGGGACGGTGTCCAGACCCAGGACAGGGTTGAACGAGGCAATGTTGTGTGTCAAGAACACTGTCCACACTGACAGCAATGATTCCTTTTAACTGGATTCTAAGACGAAGACACCCCACGGCACCCCCTTGGCCCTACCTTGGCCTTCTTCATCTCGGCCACCTCGGCCTGCAGCTTCTTGAGCTCCCTCTCATAGCGGGACTGGTTCTTCAGCAGCCGCGCGTGCTCCTTCTGCGCGGCCTGCAGCTTCTGCAGGTCCCGGTTCATCTCCCGCAGCCTCTTCTCGTAGTCGGCCTTGATCTTGTTGGCCTTCTCCTCGGTGTAGCACTCCATGGTGCCTGAGGGCAGCAAGAGGCAGCAGTCAGCGCCACGGCCCCAAGGGCTCCTGGCGGCTGTGGGCTCAGACGGCGCGTGGGGGGCAGGGGCCCAGACTCTAGTCTCGGTGCATGACCCTGGGCAAGCCACACCCCTCTCTGCACCTGCGGCTTCATTTCAACAATGAAGGGCTCAGACTAGAAGATGCCCAAGGACCCTTCCTGCTCTGATATTCCACTGGACCTTGAGGGGGTATCTTCATCGTCAGATCTCTGGGCCCCAGGGCACCAGCTTCCCGTGGGACTTCATGAGGGCCACTCATGCTGGCTTGGTTCTGACCCATGATTAGAGGAAAGGATTGGGGCCAGTGGAAGGGCAAGAGCTAGCATGTTGGCCGGAGCAGAAGGAATAAACTGATCCTCAGCCCTTGGCCTCTCCTACCTGACCTGCCAACAGACGTCTCCATGCGGATGTGTAACAGCCATCTCAAACTGGCACAGAACCGAGCCCCCAGTCTCTACCCCGTGGCCACTGCAGTCTTCCCCATCTCAGTGTCCTTCCAGAAGGTGACTTACCTGGCTCTCCTCTCACATCCCCACCTAGTCAATGTCTCCACCTTCAAAATACATCCAGAGTCCCACCACTCCTTGCCGCTTCACCACCTGTCCAAATGCTCTTCCACCGTAATCCTTAGAACAGTTTCCTAACTGGCCTCAAGCTTCTACTTTTGTTTTGCTCCAGCAGCTACAGCGGTCTTTTCAAAATGCTTTTAAAGTTTACATCCCACCCCTCTCTCCACACCCCACATCTCCCCATCTCCCTCAGAGAAAGGTGATGTCCTCACGATGACATGACCGGGTGCCACATTTCTTCTCTGAGCCTGTCTTTGCTGCTGTCCCATCCCCATCTAACAGCCATCTGGCACCAACATGCTGCGCACACTCCCACCTCTGGGCCCTGGCACCCTCTGTTCCCTCGTCCTGGAATGCTCTTCCCCTCACCCACTCTGCTTTAACAGCATTTCGTCTCCTACACGTCTGCCCAGATGTCACCTCCTTGGTGAAGTCCTCCATGACCATCCTTTTAAAAATGCCAGCCCCACCCCTGTCCTTCCTGCTGTGTCTCTTCCCTAATGCTCATCCCCTCTGGACATGCCACCGGTCCTGCTTGTCTCTGTATGGCTGTCTCTCCCCAGAATGCACACCCCACATGGCAGGGGGTTCGCTCGCTCCACGATCTCTGGCACCTAGAATGATCTGCTCTGCCAGAGGGGGTCAACAGCTGTCGCCTGAATGAGTGAACGGACGGACGAGCACTCAGATGCGAGGGCTGAAGGCCGGTGCAAGGAAGGCAGAGGGCCGGAAGTCTGTACATAGGCTCGAAGGAAAATGCCCCAGGAGCCGAGTGCAGGAAAGAAGCCGAGGATCATCGGCCATGCGCCCAGGGAGACAAGGATTCTAATACTTAAGATGATTAATAATAAAATGTAGCATAGAACTGGGTTAGACAGGACTTCTGGACTGTGGGTCAAGGGTCGCAGTCTGATGGCCAGAAGCCTTTGCACGGGAGCCCAGTGCGGGGTTGGGGGGGAGGGGCCTCGCGGGACGGCAGGGGCAGCGGGCGGGCGCGGGCCTCACTGAGGTTCCGCAGCACGCGGTCGCGCTCCAGCTGCGTGTCCCGGATCTTGTTCTGCAGCAGAACCAGCTTCTCCTCGTACTGGTGCTTCAGCGTCTGCAGCCGCCGCTGGCTGTTCTCCAGCTCGTCGATCAGCTTCTGCTTGATCTCGATCTCGCAGGTCAGGTCCGCCAGGTCCGCCTGGAAGTTCACCTCTGCGGGGCAGAGACAGGCTTGACCCGGGGCCAGGGGCCAGGGGCAGGGGGGCTGAGCCGGGACGAGAGTCAGAGGCCAGAGGCGAGAGGCCGCGGCCGGTCCCACTGCGCGGAGTCCTACCAGGCGGGGCGCCCCAGGGACAGGCGGCCCCCAGAACGCAGGGGTGGGTGTAGGAGCTGGGTGGGGGTCTCGGCATGGCCCAGAGGCCAACGTCCCCTGGTCCTGCTGGGACATGGGAGCCGGCAGGTGAGAGGAGGGGGTGAAGACTGAGGGCGACGGCAGGGCTGTGGGTCAGAGATGGTGGCGAGCAGGGCCGGTGGGCAGCCGCCCCCATGCAGAGGGCGGGTTTCAGAACCAGCGGGACCGCCCGGGGAGAGTCACCGGCCTCTCTGAGCCGCCCTTCTCGGGCAAGCCCCCGACTATAGGCCCAGAGGTGTAGTGAGGGCTGCACGAACCGGGCCCAGCGTCAGCTCAGCACAGCGCCTGGCATACGGTGAGTGCCCAGCTCGTAAGCGTCTGATGCCACACCAGCATCGATGTTGTTATTGTTTTCATGCCCTGCAGTTCTGGGCCTTGTGTGTCCACTGTCTCTGAGAACAAGGCAGGGCCCGACCCTCCGCAGGGGCATGTGGCCCAGGGCCTCCCAGCCAGGAGGGGCGTCCCGAGCCTTCTCAGGCCCAGCGGCCCAGCGGCCCTGCCCGACGCACGCACCCTTCTCCTCGGGGTCCGAGTCCGAGTCCGCCAGGCTCTCCTCGCTGCCCGAGTCCTCCTCCTCCTCGCAGCCGCTCTCCTCTCGCTCCTCCTCCTGGGCACCAAGCGCCCGTCAGGCACCAAGCACCCGTCAGGCAGCGCCTGGCCTCCGGGGAGGGAGCCCGGAGGCCGGGCGAGGCCGAGGGCACGGCGGGTGCATCCGGAGGGAGGGGCGTGGGGTGGCCACAGATGGCACCCACCCTCCTGGGGGAGTACCGCCCACCTCCTGCCCCAGCAGCCACACAGGGCACTCCGGGAGAGCCCCCCGGAGGGACAGGTGGGCACGGAGGGAGGGAGGCCACCGGGGCAAACAGACCCCGGCAAGCATTCAGGACCGACTGGAGGCAGACCCAAGCCCTCCCCCTCTGCACAGGGATGGGGACCCCACCCAGCCGGCTGTGGGGCTGAGCCTGCGGGGGCCGGAGGCAGGGCGGCCCCTCACCTCCTCGCCCTCGTTATCATCTGTCTCCTCACTGTTGTCCTGCTGCAGCTTTGCCCTCTTTTTGAAGGCCTCCTTCTCCGGGCTGCGCAGGAGTGAAGGACAGGCCAGGTTAGGGGGCTGTGCCCGCCTTAAGCAGGAGACTGAGGTGGCAGGGGCGGGCAGGAGTGTCCCGCCCAGAGGACCCTGCATGGGTTCCTGGCCTGCAGAGACGCCAGCTGCTCTTCTTTAGCCCCCAACCCAGAGTTGACCTGGGTAATCCCCCCTCCCTCTCCTCAGGGAGAGAAGGGCATCAGAGGGAGCTGGGGGGCTTCTGCCCAAAAGGCTGAGCAGAGAGCTTGGTGAGGTCCCCAGAACCCTGAGCAGCCCTGCTGGACACAGGCAGTATCCTCCTGGGGGCCTCCGGGTGAGCACCTTGGGGTGGGGTCTCAGGGAGGGGGGGCTGCACTCCGCTCACCTTTTCCTCCGCTGCCTGACCTCCTTCTTCTTGAGCCGCTCCAGGTCCTGCTTGGCCCTGCGGATCACCTCGGAGGCGTCCTCCATGGAGCTGCCTGGGCTGCCGCCGAAGGCCAGGGCACCCGGAGGTGCGCCCAGGGAGTAGGGACTCCGAGCTGAGGCCCGAGAGAGGCTGCGGCGGAGGGACTCATTCATGGCCTCACTCTCCAGGAGCTTGGTCCTACGGGCACAGCGAGCCGCCCGCCCGGTGAGCCAGCCTTGCCCTCAGCCCGCCCGGCCGCGGCCCTCCAGCCTCCCGGGGCAGGTGGGCTCACTCACCGGAGCTCCTCGATCTCCCGGATGTAGTTCTGGATCAGAGCGCCGATGGCCTCGTTGCCGTCACCTGGACCCGGGGAGGAAAGCGGCAGTAAGGACCTCTGGCTCTACACTGGTGGTTGGGCGTCTGTGCCTCCAGTGGGGGGGACACACTGAGGCCTCTTCCAAAAAGGAATCTGTATCAAGGAAAGACTTGTGCCTGTGCACAGATGTGTACAAGCACTTCTGGGAACAGTGAGAAATGGAAACAACCAAATGTCTGTCAACAGAGGCCATTAGAATAAATCATTCATCATCACCACCTGCGTAACACTGTGGTTTAAAAGAATTAAGTAGGTTTATATGTTTTAACACAGAGAGATCTCTAAAGTTAATGTTGAGTGAAAAAGGGGAGTCAAAGGACAAAGCAGATGACCTCATACACAGAAAAAGAAAACGTTATATGTATTCACACACATGATTATATAAGCACGTGTATCCACATGTGGAGCAAATATACAGGGGAAGGTGTGAAGAAACGTGCAGCCAGCTGCTTGTATGAAGCAGAGAGGACGTGCGGTGGAGAGTTCAATGAGAGGGACCTTAACCTTTTACTGTACATATGTTTGTGTCATAGAAAAAAGCTTTAAAACTGATTGGAAAAAAATGCATAAAAATAGTTGATCTGTGAACTGACTGGCTGGGCCAGCCCACCCAATACCTCGGGGTCGGTACGGGGAGAGGGGCCCTAGCCCTCTGGTGCTCCTGGCCGGCCTGGCGCACCCCGACTCACCGGCCTTGGCCAGTAGCAGGTTGGCCTCCTGGCTCATGAGGTGGGTGACGCGGTTGTTGATGGCGTCAATGGCCTCCTGCATGGCCTTCACCCGCAGACGCAGTGCCCCATTCTCCTTCTGCAGCATGGCATTCTCCCGGAACAGGTCACTGTAGCCCTCGGTGCCATCCTCCCCAATCACTCTCTTCCCCTGGGAAGAGGGGCAGGCAAGGAGCAGTCAGGTGCCAGAGCTCAGAAAGGGGATGGGGGACAATGGTGGGCACTGCCAGTGCCCCTGCCTCAAGGTTCCTAAAACACCTCCTGTCTCCCAATGCTCAGAAACCTTACTTGGCTCCCCTTGACAACGCAGAAGGCCAAATTTTGTGAGCAGCTCTCCCAAGCTCCCACAATCATGTCTCAACCTGCCTTTCTCCGCTCATCTTCACGTCCCCGTAAACGCTAACTCAAGGGCCGGACCCCGAGGGGCCCAGGCGTGGGCATGAGTGAGCCAGGAAGCCCGGGTGCAAGACAACCGAGTGGGCGGCTGGAGCTAAGAGTCCTGGACCTGGCCTAAAGGGGCGGCCACCACGCCACTCCGGCCGGTTAGTGCCACATGCTATTGGATCTTCAAGGTTTTCAAGAAAAACTGAAATTCCCTGGTTTTCAGAAAGGTCGGCAACTACATTGCATAGTTTCAAAATAAAGGGCAAGACCCATTTGTGTGCCAGATTGAGGCCAAGGGCCACTAGCTGGTGACTTCTGCGTCAGTCACATGGAATTAGTTCTTCCCAAAGGGGCCCTCTTTTCTCCCACCTCTGTTCCTTTGCCCACGACTTGTCCACATCCTACGATGCCTGCTCCACTTTCTCTTGCTGGTCTCACTCATTCTTCAAAATCCATCTAAAAAGCCCCCTCCTCCAGGAGGCCCTCTCTCCTCTGCCCAGACCCTTGCCCCCAGCACACCGGACTACTCACGTGGTCCCCATCAACTACTCTTACTCTGTACCAACTATTCTGAGCCTAGGAGGCTCATCTGGTCCGACACACACAGCGCCCAGCAGAGCAGCTGTCCTGTGCATAAGCTCTATGTAACAGAAGCCCAGGCACCTCTTTCTCTTAGTTTTCTACAACCCTGAGAGTCCCAGCTGTGCTCGATTCACCCAGGTGAGCCCCCGGTGCCAGGCATGAGGGCGCTGTGAGGAACGGGGACGGGGAGGAGAGGCGGGAAGGATGCTGAGGAACTGGCGGCCCTGAGCCGGCAGCGAGCTCACCGCCTTGTACTCCATCAGCTCCATCTGCAGGCGTGCGATCTCGGCCCGCAGCGCACTGATCTGCTGGCTGGTCTTGTCCTGGTTCACCACCACCTTGTTCTTGATGTTGCGGGCCCGGTTGGCGTACTTGAGTGTGTTGAGCGTCTCCATGAAGTCCCGGTCTGAGGGGCTCACGCAGGCGATCATGACGGTCTGGCTGGGGGGCGAGGGATGAACACGCCGCTCGCTCGAAGAAGCACCAGCTTGGAGCAGACCTCCTGCCCCCACCCCATTCGCAAGGCGCCCATCTCCCAAGCCCACGGGGGGGAGCGGGACGGCCCATCTGTCCACTGGCCTTTCATGCCCTAAACCCTCCCACAGGAATTCCCCAGGAAGCTCCTGCCCCTCGGCCCTTCCCCAGCGGTTGGCCGGGGGGTACCTGTTGCCCCCCAGTGAGTCCTGCAGGAGCCGAGTGAGCTTGGAGTCCCTGTAGGGCACGTGCACCACCTTCTTGCTCTGGTCCCCCAGGGCACTGATCACGTTGCCCAAGGCCAGCTGCAGGAGACAGAGCCTGGCACTCGAGAGGCGCCCCCAGAGGGAGGGGGTGGGGACAGGACAATGCCGGAGCCCTCCGCACCTGCCTTGCTGACCCCAGCAGCCCTCAGACGCCCTGGGAGGCTTTACAGGCAGATGTGTGGAGTTGGTGAGATCAGAAAGTTGGGGACAAGGGGCAGGTGAATGACAAAGGTCCCACAGTGACGCACAGGGGGCCCCTGGCCAGCAGCTGGAGGAGCAGGCAGCAATGGGGTGGAGGGCCACAGAGGGGTCTGGAGTGGAGCCCTGCTGGCCCCTGGGGTTGGGACCTGCTGTGTGCCTACCAGGCCACAGTTGATGGAGATGCCCTCCTTGGCACGCTCGCCGGTGGCCCCCGTCCGCTTCAGCCGCTCCGAGCCGGCGAGGTCCACAAAGTGAAACTTTGCAGTGAGTGTCTCATACTCATTTGCAGGAGCCGGGCCCTCAGGAAGCCCCATTACCGCCTCACTCACCTGCAGCACAGGTGCGCGTCTGACTCGCCAGCCCCCTGCCCACCTTGCTGCCCCTCTGCTCTCAGCCCTGCCCCACAGGGATGCTGCCCGTGATTCGGCCAAGAGGCAGGACAGCCACAGGGGACCTCGCCCCTCACACAGGCAGAGCACCTGACAGCTTACGCGCAGCCTGCACATGCCTGATTCTCATTTAGCCCTCACAGTGATAGAGGTAGGGTCACCCCCACCACACAGAGGAGGTAACTGAAGCTTAAGAAAAAAGAAAAGAAGAATCCACAGTGGCAGACGCGAGCCTCAGACCCACGCCTGCTGGCCGCAGATCCACAGCCCCCTCCTCGCGTTGCCCTCCTGCGATGCCCCCTGACACACTGGCTCCTGGGCCCCCGGGCTCCTCACCAGGTCGGGCTGGGTGCACACCCGCATCTGGCACACGTGGATGGTGAAGATGGCGTGGGAGCGGGAGCTCTGCACGTTCATCTGGGTGCTGGCTGTGGTGCGCGACAGGGCGCCCTGCTTCAGGCACTGGACCAGCTGGGGAGGGGGGCAGGCGTGAGGGCAGGGGATGGCTGCGGGTCACCCCCGCCCGCCGGGACCGTCAGGGCACGCTCACCTCCTCCTGGGAGGTGACGAGGCGGGAAGTGACGCCGGTGGTGTAGATGCCGCCACTCCCGTCCTCGTGGACCTTGATGTTGGACCTGCGGTGGCGGGTGTCGGGGTCCCGGGTGCTGTCGAACAGGTCAAGGATCTCCTCGTTGTACAGCTGTGTGGGGCGAGACACAGCTGCTGGGTGTGTATGGCACGTGGTGGGGGGCCCCACGGGGCTTTCTTTGGTTTATGAACCAGGTCCGTTTTGCAGACATGGATGCTGAGGCCCTGAGAGGTTGACCGGCCGACCCCAGGCCCCCCTGGGTTCTGGAGTCCATGCTTTCTCCTGGACAGGGGTGGGTGGTGGCTGGCCTGGCCAGCTATCCTGAGGCTGCTCCGCCACAGCCCGTGGGCCAGCACTCAGCCGTCCTGGGCTGGGGGCAAGGGGCCCGAAGGAGACGAGGGGACTCGGGTCGCAGATGTAGGTGAAGATCCCACCATAATGGACGTGGACCCTGCCTGTTACCGGGCTGGGAAAGCGGGGGTAGGACGCGGCTCCAGAGGAGGGAGGGGAAGGCCTGGCCCGGTGGAGACCGCACCCCGACAGTCCCTGGGCACAGAGGAGACAGCCTCCAGTCGGGTAGGGAGGGTGTGGGCACGGAGAACGCGCCGCTGTGGCCAGGCCCCCAGGGGAGAGCACTGTGGGGGAGGTGGCCCGGCCCGGAGCGGTCACCCCATTTCAGATGGCCGCAGCCTTGGCACCCCTGGCAGGGAAAGGTCACTTGCTGAAGGGCTAGGATGTTCACAGGAGGGAGCAGGGAAGGCTGGTCAGCTGCATCCGCTGCCAACACAGTCCTGGGGGGCAGGGCTGGGCTGCAGCCCTGGACATCCGAGGTTTCATGGCTTTAAAGGGACAGAAATACCCCACAGGAAGGGGAAGGGGAAACGGAAGGGACTGGTGCAGACACGGGTGCCATGGTGTCTGTCTGTCTGTTAGGACAGACACGAGCGTCATTTAACCCTTTGCGGCTCACCCTGTGGCCTGCAATTTGGGGGTCTACATGGCAGCAAGACGGAAAGGCAGACAGCAAAGAGATAAGAAAGCTTGTAGAGACTGGGGCACACGCACGAACATATACAAACACACACACATGCACACACATGCATGCACACACACACATGCACACACATGCATGCACATGCACATATTCAGTCACTTTATCAGAAGCAAAATCCTGAAGGCCAAAGAAAGACTCTCAAGTCTAAAATACAGGATCCCCTAAAGGGAGAGCAGCTGCCCTATGCACACAGCAGGGAGTAACTGGGCAGGCAGTGGGCAGCAGTGGGGCATGGGAGACCTAGAGAGGGCTGGAGCCACTTCCATCCCTAGAGGACAACCTGGGTACAGTCGGAGCACAGGGCACACAGGGTGAGAGCCCAGGGTGGCCCCATAGCAAATGCCCCAGGCCAGGAGGGCTTGTGGGCTGGGGTTTCAGATGCTGGGAACTGAGGCTGCCTTGTTCAAGTCTCCTGCAGGAGGAACCTGGTCCGGTCAGGCCCCCATGAGGCATCCTGGCCCCCCTGCCTCCCTGGAGGCTCTCCTGAGAGGCCCCTCCTGCCCCCCAAAGCCCCGAGCTGCCACAGCCCCTGGCCTCAGCTCACAGACACTCTCCCAGGGAGACAGAGGGCCAGAGGCAAAGGAAGGCTCCTTCTGGGGGGCCTTCCTGGCCCTGGGGTCAGAGGAGATTGAGAGGGCTGGGAAGGACCTCAGCCCGAGAAGGGCAGGGCAGCTGCTCTGAGGCCGGGCGGGGACCCAGCGAGGCCAGGAGGACGGGTGAGAACCAGAGGTCTCACTCTGTGCCAGGCATGTGCTTCCCTCCACGTCATCCTCCCCAAGCCCCTAAGGAAATGAATGTCATCACCCCATTTTGCAGAGCGGTGACAGGACTCGCCAAAGGTCACGCGGCTAAGTGTCAGAGCCGGGACTCAGTCAGGCTTGAAGAGATCCTACGGGTTCTCACTGACCCGAGCCCCATCTGCAGCAGGGGCTCTCCAGAGAGTCCCGCCAGGCGGTCTTCCAGCTCTTGCTGGGCCACTGCGAGCAGCAGGGCGCTCCTCACCCACGGAGGCCTCCGTGGCGCCCTAGGCTCATTCCGCTGGCCTGGAGGAGCTCGGTGTCCGTGGTCCCGCTGTCCCCCGCCTCCCTCCCACCCTCAAGGCCACGTACCTCCAGGAACTGAGCACTGACTTTGAACTCGGGCCCTGCCACACCCCGCTCCTGTGCCTTGCGTTTGCGCTCAGCAATGCCTCCAAAGAGGTGTGCAATGGCCCTCGGGATGATGCCCTGTTCCTCCTCTGACGTTGCCGCGTCGAAGCCAGTGCCCATGGTATATGTCTTCCCAGCCCCCGTCTGCACGGCAGAGATGGAAGGAGGGTGTTATCATGCACCCTCTGGGGGTGCGAGCAAGCCCTGGACCCTAGGCTGAAGTCCCCCGCCATTTACTTCCAGCCTGAATCCCCACCTGGCTGCCCACAAAGCTACACCCTGTGGAAGCCTTCTCTGACGGCCTCCCTCTGATAACTAGCAGAGCAGCAGCCTGGAAAACAGAACTGCGGCTGCATCTGGGTTGGTCTGAAGGTGGGGCTCTCCTTCCCATCAGACAGGGGAGACCAGAGATGGACTGGCCATCAGTGGGTGGTGGGGGTAGCTTACCTGCCCATAGGCCAGCACTGTAGCATTGTAGCCCTCAAAGCAGCCCTCGATGAGCTTGCTCACACAGGTCGAATAGATCTGTTCCTGCCAGGTATCCAGGTCGAAGACAAAATCGTAGGTGAAGGCCTTGTCCTTCCCCAGAAGGACCTGGGGCTCCCCCGGGGTGACAGAGGTACAGATGTGACAGCCCTCAATCTTCTCCTTTGACAGCTGGGGCCGGATCCTGCCCGGGACGGGATGGGGAGAGCCCTGGGTAAGCCTCGCTGGGGGTGCCTGTGAGCCCCCTCCCTTACCCTACCAGCTAAGCTCCCCCGTCCCCCAGGCCCCTCCAGCCCTGACAAGCACGAGGGTAAGGAAGCTTGGACGCCCCTCTCGGAGGACAAGGGCAGCTTTTGTAATAACCCAACAATGATAATAACAGCAATAAGGTAGTCAAAGCAGCAGTTGTTAACATTTATTGAACACTCTATATATCAGAGCTGTGTTAAAAGCATTTTACATAAATGAATTAATGTGTTCATCATTATAAACCTGTGAGGTACATATCATTTGCCTGATTTTACAGAGGAGGAAACTACAGAGAGAGTTAAGCGACCTGCTCATGCTTGTCTAACGGAGCATAACAGAGCCAAGCCCACGTCTGTCTGGCACCCAAGCTCACGCTCCCAACAGGACAGGGAGCCCGTCAGCCTCCTGCAGCACAGAGGAGGCAGCTGGCCCCCTTCTGGGGAGGCAAAGCTCAGGACCGAGGTGGGGAGCGGAGGGACAGGCCTGGGGGCTCCTGTGGGACCAAGTTCCCAAGGAGCCCAGAGCCTCTGTCAAGGCCTGTGGGGGCTGCGAGGGGCCTCCAGATTGGGAGCCCCCCGGATGCCAGAGCCGGGGGGCACATTCTCAGGCACAGGCTCTGGCTCCTCCCCAGGCGCCAAGGGACCTGAGCACGCACAGCCCTGCCAGATGGTGTCACGCCAAATGTTGGCTGGAAGGGACACCAGGAAGCCACTGGAGGGACCACACCCCTGATGCTGGTGGGTTCCCTGGTAAAGAGGAAGAAAAGTGGCATCAGGGCTGGATGGGGAGGCAACCACGACAGGGCTGTCTCTCTCCAGCCACCCCTTCTCCTCTTTTAAGTAGCCATTGCCAGGATCAGGTCCCCATGGCAACCAAGAGTGACTCAGTGAGCATGCGCCTGCAGGCCTGGGCAGAAAGCACCTCCCAAATGCCCCAAGTGAAAGGGCAAACAGCGGTGGGTGTGGGGCTGGTGAGGGGGTACGGGTGAGGCGCTAAATGCTCCTGGGCTCACATAAGCAGCCCTGTCAGCCAGGCGCCCACAGTGAGCTGCTTGTCAGCTTCCTAAGCCAAGAAGAAGAGTGAGAGGCCAGGCCAGCACCCACGCAGGGCCCAGGCGCCCCGCCACAAAGCCAGGGCCTCCCAGCACCCTCCTGTCCCGATCCCAGGGTGCGCCAGGCCCCAAGGCTCACTCAGGACTGCAGGCCGGGGGAGGTGCTCACCTGAGCCGTTTACCTGCATTTTGCCGTGGGAGGGTCAAAGGGGCCTGGGGGTCAGGTAGGGCGGTTCACTACACAGGCCCAGTTCACACCCACGTATACAGTCTGGGCTTTCTTCAGAAGTGCTTACTCCGGGTGTGGACAGGACTGCACAGGTCGGGGGGTCCTCACAGCCTCACAACAGGCTGACAGGAATGGACGCCTGGGAGGCCACCATCCCTTCCACCCACCCCAGCTACTCTAGGCCAAGCTGTAATCAGAACCCAGCCCTCCGCCTCCCCCCGGAACTTGTCTCTGGCTGGGAGGGGAGCAGCCGATTCTTACTCTGTTCTCTGGGCCTTCAGACCAGAAACCAGACCCTCCGGAAAGACACCAGGGCCAGCACTGCTTCCCACTCCACCACCCAGGGCGGCCACTGACACAAACGTGCTGGGTGCCAGACTGTGGCCCAGCGCTGCCATCTACTGGCTCTCGGTCCTCAGGTGACTACGGCCCCTGTTTGTAGGTAAGTGACTGTCCAGCCACTCACAGACAGTCGGGGGCTGAGCAGGATTTGAACCCCGGCAGTGTGTGCGGTGCCTCTTCAATGCTCCCGAGCCACTGGGTCACTAAGGGGCAGGGCTCAGCGTGCCGTATCCAAGGGAGAGAGCAGGCAGCAGCCTCGCAGAAGGGCACGGCATGATGTACAAGGTGCCAGGCAGGAACCTGGAGCTCTGGCGCTGCCTGAGACTTCAGACCTGGCTCTGCCCCTGGGCCTGTGGGACCCAGGACAATCACTTCCAGCCCAGGGCATCCAGTGCACCCAGGTGAACTGAAGGTCTGCCTGGGCAGCCCCTGAGGACCCTCCAGCTTTGCTGGTTAGTGTCAGCTATCAGAGATGCCCTCCCTACCACGTGTGCTGCTTGCAATGAGATTTCTGGATCCAGTTCAAGTACCATTTAATTACCCCAGGCAGATGGCAATGCTGGTGATTGGAGGAAATCAGATCAGGATCCCCAGAGACAGTGGGGGCAGTGAGGGGGAGAAGCAGCCTCCCTATCAGAGCCCCTCAGTGAGAGGGCAGCTTCTCCTGCTAGCGCCAGCTCCCAGGCCACCGTGGAGTCACCTGCCAGCACACGAGAGCAGCAGAGGGCAGGCTGGGAGACGGATTGGAGAGAGGGCGACTCCAGGGCTTTAGGGTCCAGGAGTTGAGGGGTCAGCAGGCATTCGCCCTGGGACCTTCCATTGGCCCCCGCATCCTGGTGTGTGGCCCACAGTGGCCCAGTCTAAGCACCAGGGTGCTCTGTAGGGTGCAGGTGTGGGCAGTCTGACCCAGAGGAAAGGGTACCAGCTGGGGACACAGGACACGGGCCCTGGGAGTCACTATATGCCCCAGCACCTGGCCTGCAGGAGCGAGCGTGTCAGTGCCAGGAGTGGACATGCATGCGTGACTGGAGACCGAGGACAGAGAGGATGCTTCCCATGAGCAAGCGCAGGGCCAGGCACCTGCCACGGGCGGCCTTATTTCACCGATGCCGTGGGCTAGGGATTTCAGCGCCCATTTTCCAGAGGGGAAAGCTGAGGCCTGAAGCAGTTGAGTCACACCCACGGTAAACACATTGGAGCCCGGCACTGACTCCTGCTCTGGCTACAAGCCTGCAGGCTCTCCCATCCTCCGGCTGCCTCCCACCTGGGAACTTCAACCTCCAAACCCACACACTTCCTTCCCTTCATTAGAGCCAGGGAGGCCCTGTGGAAGGGGTCCTGCCACTATGCTCTGTCACGTGCCAGGTGGGCACCAGGCTGGCCCTGCCTTCTTGGGCTCACAGGCCAGCGGGGCAGACACGGGGGCTCATTCCTCACCACTCCCTGCCCAGCGGAGAATTCAAACCTGCACAGGTGGGAGGTGAGAGGGCAGGGAGATAAGGACAGGGTCCTCGACAAGCCTGTACCCTGACCCCCTGCGGCTCAGAGCCGCTGCCCCCTCAGGTGCAGCTAAGCGACCCCTCCCCAGCCTTGGCTTTCTAAGGACTCCATCACCTTCCCCTCTGGCTGTCAGCAGCCCTCGATCCACCTGGGGTAAAGTTACTTCTGTGGGCTGCCCTCAAAGTGGCAGTGGCCCTCCACCAGCCCCACCATCCTCAGAGGAGGGGGAGGAGGAAGCCCCCTTCACAGCCTGTGGCCCCCAGGAACCTGGGGGTGGGTGCAGGGATGCAACCCATTTCTAGGGTTTGGGAGTAAACCACTGACCCTGGACCAGACCCAGGATTAGGGTGAGCGAGTGAGGCACCGGCCTCAGGTGCAAAGTTTCCAGGGACAGGAAAAACTCAGTAATCAAGACAAATTATAATTTAATGCAATATTTGAAAAACACAAATCAGCAAACTGAGGCCCAGGGCCAGTGGCCTGTTCTTGTCAATGAAGTTTTGCGGAGGGGGCATCCAATGGCCCTCCTGCCCAGAGCCCTCCTGAGTCGCGGGCACCTCAGCCCAAGCTCCCCCAACGCCCTCTCCCTCCTCCAGGGCCTGCGGGGAGGAAGGGGCGGCGGACAGGACAGCCCCGCTCAGAAAGGCCCCCAGACTCTCCCAGAACAGAGCGCGGTCTGTTCGCCACTTGGCAACCCGCAGGCTGAGCGGTGGTGGCCACGGGAAGAGAGAGGCTCCGAGCTTTTCAGAGGCGGGATCTGGCACGGGTGCCGGGCACCGCGCCCCCTCTGCTCCCCGCTAGGTTTCACAGCCTCCCCCACCGCCCCAGAGTCGGCGGCACAAAGGCCCCAGAGCGGTGCCCAGGGAGGCCCAGTGCTGTGGGAGGAGCTGAGCCCTGCGGTGCCACAGCTCTTTGGGGAGCGAGGGGGACAGGGCGGAAGGGGAGGGCAGAAGACACAGGCAGGAGGCAGGCCCGGGGATGCTGAGAGCCTGCCCAGGAGAAAAGACTGCAAGGGGAACAGGCCCGAGCCCTGCATCCACCCCAGGGCTTAGGTGGTGGGGCGGGGGTCGGCTCTCCTCACCCCACTGGATCCGGTGGCCTTCGTGGGAACAAAGCCAGCCAATCACTGCCACTCCCAGGGGCTCTACCAGTGACCTTTGGCTCCTGGGGGTTGGCTCAGCTTTTCCGGTGAATTAGTCCCACCCACTCGGCGGGCTGCACTCTGACGGTCAGTTTAGTTGGGAGCTCTGCACCCTGAGCGCCTCAGGGTGCAGCCCCAGGCTCTTCCCATTTGAAGAGTCTTCCCCAGGAGAGGGAACATGCTGTGATGTTAAAATAACTAACCAAGAACTGTTCCGGAATCCTAGAAAATGTTCACAATTTCAGTGTATGGGCTGCGGTTTCTGACCCCTTTAACTATTGGTACCTGGGACCCATTACACATCAGCTTACTCAACTTCCCCCATTGGTAACAGCACCCACGTTTATGGAGCAAGACTGCCTCTTTGCTAGACGCCGGAGCTGGGATGCTTTGCATATTAGATCGTTACACAAATCATTTAGTTCTAAGGTAGTATAGTTGCCCCTGAGTTACAAATGAAGGCTCAGAGGATATCAGCTTGGCTCAAGTCCCACAGCTGGTAAGTAACAAGGTCTTCCAGGAAGACACCTCGACTAGCTATCAGCCCTGAAGACTGCATTCAGAAGGGGAGCTCAGAAGAAGGGGTGGGCATAGCTGTCCAACTGCGAGTAATTTGCACGCTGGGGACTTCCAGGGTGGGAGACACCCTCGCCCAGGCCCCACCTCAGAGGT